GCAGATCGTGCCGAAGACGAAGACTGCCCTCGAGGATCTCAATGTGATCAGCCAGGTGGCTCCCTCAAAGATTTCCGCCGCCTATGTACAGAAAATGCGTGAGGCATTTGCGGCCTGATGTCATATCGTCACAGTGGCACTTTATGTTTTCCGTTGCCATGCCATGTGTGACTTTCTTTTTGGAAACTTTGGCGTAAGTGCTGCTGCTCGTCATTTCGGAACACATGCAGGGTAGGTTGCTGCTGCTGAAGCTTACAGCTTTATGAAGGTTGTGAACCGGCGTATGCCTAAAGCAAGGCAACACATCTGATGCAGCTTGCAGCCTAAAGCATGTGAGCGAATGCATTGTTGACGGCCGGAGCCAAACTTGTGCGATGGTGCGAAAGGTTTGTGCCAGCAGAGTGCCCATGAAAACATCACCCCAAAACATTGACTCCCAAAACTTGTCAAAGTGAAACCTTGAAATCGTAGACCGTAAGACTTCAAGCCTCAAAGCCAACAGTGTCGATGTTCAAAGGTTACAGCATGACAGGTGTAAACAACTCTGTTGTATCTGTGTTCTCGCTACCTGTGGATGCGGCCAGTGTTTACCCACAGAGCACGGAGCAAACTGTATTCAAGGATTTGTCTTTGGTTATAGATATCTTTTTCTGGTTTCTTTTGCTTGACTTAGGCAAACTAAACAGGGCTTGAACAACACAAACACGTTGAGCTTGTGTGGTGGAGCTTTGCATGAAGCTTGACACATGCGTATCATTTGTAATCGATTGCCTCGTGACAGAGAACTGAGTGGCACAACTTAGTAATGCAATGGTGGGTGTTGTGTCGCATCAATACCCGTCAACCCCAACTTCAACTCAATCTTTAGCGTGGGCCTGCTACACATGGAAGTCCTAAAGCTCCAAGAGCTCCAAAAAAAGGCTTGCGTAGCATTCCCTTGTGGCCTTTGTTGACTTTTGTCGTGAGTCTACTTGTGTTAATGGGTTGAATGCCTCGCGTGGGGTAGTTGGGGAAGAGATGGTAGGGTGAAGCCCGGGAAGTGAGTAGATGGTCGGGGGAAGCAGTCCAGCGCCACGGCGGGATTTACCATCAAGGACAGGTAGCAACTTCACACGAACAGTGCCCACGACTCCACGGCCAGGGTCCTCACTTGCTTCACCCACGAGGGCATGCAGCTTTGGCTCCCGTCGCCTGCCAAACCAATTACTCAGAACGGTCACCGACCAAAGCTCAGGAATTCCGAGGTCCGGGCGGGCTGACGGAAGGGAAGTAGCCTCAAAACTTGAAGCGGGTGCGCAACGAAAGCATCAATGACTTGTTCGTCATGTAGACTGGGAGACTCGGCACAAGGTCACAAACCTGGCAATAAAAGAGGGGCCTTCCAGCAACAAACAGTTCTCTGGCGAATCTTTGTTGTTTCGACTCTTGTGGGCTGTCTTGGAGGAGTCAAGTGTAAGGTGCATGGCCCGAGAATTTCTGGATGCAGGCAGGTAAGCCCCAAACAGTCAAACCGTCGAAACATTGCCAGTTCTGACACATTCCGCCAAGCTGCTAAAGTCTCGTCTTCCCCAGCTTCCAGACATTGAATCGTCGCCCAATGCTGACCCTGCACAGACACTCGGGCTTAAGAAAGCTATTCCGGCGAAACACAATACATTAATGCACTCCTGGGCAATCTTGCTTCAGGAAGCCACGAAAACGGACACGATCTCTCGCAAGAAGATGCCAGACTCTTTGTGGATGAAATGATTCCCAGCTTGCCAATGCTGGCCTTCGTTCCAGCTCTGACTGATCCGACTTGGACTTGCCCGTGCCGAACTCGAGAAGCCTGTCCGTCTGCGAGTCTCCCAGATAGCACCATCCGAGGATGCTGAGCATTGTTTGAGACTCATTGTCTGGACCAGTCTTCGTCCGTTCGTCCCTTATGGCGCTGAGAAGCAGGCTGCCCGGCAATTCATCAACTTCAAACCGGCATGCTGCTACCACAAACAACTGCCAAAGTGGAGGTGAGACTCCGTAAGGGCAAACCACCCGTGAACTGGGTCACAGCAGGGCCGTATATCTCTCTCTGAAGAACTGGCCTCTACTCCATCCGAAGCGGATGCTTGGTCGCGGCGACTTTGCCGGACTCTGAGCGTCTCTGCTTCCTGAAAGGGCTCAAACCTGGACTGGGAATTCGGCGTTGATGGTGCTCGAGTCCTGCTCGACTTCTCACACTTGCCTCGCTGGCGGCCATTGTGAAAGACCTGACACCCAACAGCCCGAGAAAGATCTGAGATCTTGATGCTGTCGGATGCCACTGCTTCGAAGCTGAGCTTCTTGCGCTTTGAGAGACGGCGGGGAAAGAGCCCTCACCTCCTGTGCATATGCTCTGTGCGTGTGCTGCCGCTGCTTCCCCCTAAAGACTCATACTAGTAATACAAGACTGTCCTGGGGTGGAAGTGATGCAACGGCCATGTCCTCGGTTCCGGCTTCGGCTGGATTGTGGATTCGCAGAGGACTTTGCTAGGATCTCACCTGCACTTCAGCCGCGAAGGGACCGAATCTTGAGTTGACAATGCGAGTCCGAGGACTCTGCGGCAAGCAGCTTCTCCATGCGGTCGAGCGAGGTTTTCAGCCCCTTTCGTCGTGATTGTTAACTCTGATTGTAGTATCGTGCAGGGTCACCGGCTCCCGCCATCTTGACGACCCGTCGACAGAAACGTGCTGTCCTTAACTTTCGGGCCTTCCGTTCGCCCTCGAGCTCCACGTTGCGCCTGTTCTCTGCCTGCTGGTTCTCTGGCTTAGCTCAGAATCGATGCCGTCAAGAAACGGATGCTCCGAGAAGATTGCAACACCTCTGTGAGCCTCTGTACACACACAGCACGACCCACCGCCTCGAGTTTTCTCAAAAGCACCTGCTTTTCCTCTTCGGCCTAGGCACTGTCTCACGTCGGCAGATGTTTTCCGGGACCACACAAAATGCGCTGAGCACCGGATAGCACCGGGTGCCTGGCTGCCTGCAGCTTTGAGGCCCACACGCCTGGGAAAGAGCTCGATCGTGTGCTGTCTGTGCCGTCTCAAACTCAGCGACCCAAATCTACGTTTCCAATTGACTCTGGCCAGCCTGCCAGCAGCTGCTCTCTTCCTCCTGACTGCGCAGGTCCTGCCTTGCAAAATTATAGAGTCTGTCACTGCAAAAATGACTATTCAATCAGACAGCTGGAAGACTCGTGGTGCCTCTCGAAGTGGCACGTGCTGTGGACAGCCTGTGCCTTCATCAGTCACAACTTTGCAGACAACAGTCTGCGGCCCCGATCATCAAATGCCGAGGATGCCACCAGGAATCGGCAGCTCAGCTGCAGGTCCGAGTCCCTGCCAGTTACTGGAGCTCGCACTTTGTCTTACGTCTTCGGGGATGTACGAAAGCTGCCTCTTCAGCGGCACTCCGGGAGACGATCCTGTGACATTTTATGCTTGCACTTCTGGACGGACATAAGTCGCAACGAGCACCATGGTCACCATGGTCCGTCCAAACTCCGTGTCAGCCTCTGGGCCTATGTGCTATCGGGCCATACGATACCGGAGGCCTTCGCATGGCGGCAGGCGGTGTCGGCGGCGGTGTCCGGCGTCTTCCTCGGAGCACGGGATCCAAATCTGGATTCTGGATGCTTAGATGTTTATGATGCTGCCTCCAAGTATCCCGAAGCGGCTTTGCAGGCCAAGTCTAAGCCGGCATATGTGTCCTCGATTCGCGAGGGCGAGTACCTTGGCGTGGGCAAGGTCTTCGTGGCGAGACACCCGTTGGTCACCATTTTCGGTTTAACATTCGAAGCTTGACTGTCAGCCGCAGCAAAGCTACCATGCTCTTGTGGGTGTCGCCAGGACGGTGGACGTGTTATCCACCGAGTCCAGTGGCGCAGGCCTTCCCTGACGACAGTGATTCGAGCATGTGACTTCAAGCGACCCCTTGCTGTGCCAGTCAGCACATGTGTGCCGGAAAGAGCCTCGCGCAGGATCAACGGGGTGGTGGGAAGGCTCGCTGCCATCCCACTTGAGCACCTTGGCAGCCGCACAAGCTGGTGTTGCTTGCGGCAGAGTTTCGAATCGATCTTGAAGTCTGGGATGCTGATACCGACCGAGCAGTTGGCCAGTTTCATGTCTTCAGATTGGAAGAGGCCCTGCAACTTGCAGAGGAGATACCAAGCCGAGCCACCCGGTCTGCATTCCCCCATGCTTTGAGGGAGGATGTGCGGTTGGAGACAGGGAGTAGTATTGCGTGCCTGACGCGCCAACAGCTGGAAACAAAATCGCAGGCTGCGGAGGCTTGCCCCTTCCTCCACGAACATAGACGTGGCCGTTGTCGCCAGCCGCGGTTGTGCGAACAATGCCACTGGCCACCAGTCCTTTGAATGTGTCCGGATACAGACGATTTACGTCTTTTTGCAAAAGCCCTGTCGGGTGAAGCCCCATGACAGCTATCCAAACACCAGCGGAGGGCCTGGCATCGGAATCGGCGTGGACATCGCAGATGCTGGCTCCAGAAGCTGCGTCCGGGGCCAAGCCCCGGAGGCGACTTGCTTCGGGTTGAAAGGCGTCCGCACCTGCAACCAGCCGAGACAAGAGGAGAATGTAAATGCGCCAAGGTGGCCCGCAAAGGCCTCCGGTGCCACGGCTTTGGCCTCCATCCGCGGGCCAAGCGATGGGCCGAGTGTGCCGCTCAGCCCCGGGCCATGAGCAAAAGTCTGCTGGATACTACCGTAAGCTGCTATGAGTACCGTGCTTAGTCCTACTGCTGGCTGCCGCCTCCTGGCTGAAGTGAGTCTGAAATGTTGTGAAGGCTCTCCACTGATTATTCGAGTTTCACATTGCCTGCAGCGAAGTTTCTCTGGTCAAGCGAGCATGTTGTGCAGTACAGCGACACAGCGACTAGTGCGATCATCAACAGCATCAGCTCAGCTGGGCATTGCTGGGCCTTGCAAAGAACAAGAGCTTTTTTCAGAGCCGAGCAGCGGCTGTCGTCAGGTTCCAGTGCCTGGTGCAGGCACTCAGAAGCTGTTGATGTTGCAAGACTTCTGCGATTGAGTGCTTGAGGTAAATAAAGCCTAGTAAAGCCTTGTTTCAGCTTCGTTATGGCTTGCCTCTGAAACTTGTTGGGGCTTCATGAGACATCGAGCTTTCCAGCCTGCAAGCCGACGCCCGGCGACGGCGCACGTCAGAATCAGGCAAGCAAACAGGCAAACGAAGATCCTCGGCACAACAGGTGTCAAGCCAACCACATACCAGCTGCGACCCAAACAAGTTGCAAAAGCGGCAAAAGCAGCCGAGTAACACCCGGAGGTCACTCGCCGTCAGGCCACGGTCCAGGAGTTGCTGCGAGACGGCATGCCTGAGATCGAACTACGTCTTTGAACCTAGAGTGGTCTAATTTGTCTTGCAGCCGCGCTGCCACTGCCGGATCAGTGGTAGCTGTATTGGCGAGCTAATCTTCACGTTTGAGAACCAGCCCATGAACCTGCATCGCAAGCAGTATGCAATCTCTAGAGTTGCAACAAGTTGACAAGTGCAGTCTAGTTTGTTCTGCGCGAAGCCTCCCTACACCATTTCCATTTCATGGTGGCTTGCTGCAGGGCCTTGACAGCGACTGCGCTACAGCCTCTTCTTCGGCATTCTGCAGAACCATCTGGCGAGCCCTGCCATGCCACAAGAGCTGCAATGTGCTCAAACCTGACACCATGCCCCATGCACATTTTCTCGGGCCAGACCTCCATTCGGCATCTTCCTTGAATTGAGGAGCAGCCGTGGTCCTGTGCTCGACCTTCTCAGTCTGCCACTTTGCTCTCATGTCGCGCATGCTAATGAGTGTGAAAGATCTTTGGCACCTTCTCTGTTCACTGTCAAACTGTTTCAGCTTTCTGCTTTTTCGTGAGCCTTCGACAGCTGTAGTGAGGGACTGCAAGTCTCTGCATTGCTTTCCTACACCAATCGTGATCAAACTTGGCATTGTGAAGCTCTTTCTCTGAAACAGCTGCNNGCATTGCACGATTCCCCCCCCCCCCCCAATTTGAACCATTTCATAGTAACTTCAGGCCCACCCAATTCAAACCCTTTCATAATGCATTCCTTTGTCAAGTTTTTCGACTCAGCTTCGCTCTCATCTCGGCCCAATGTACTCACCGCCCGGCCTGCTTCTGTAAAAGAGCCGCTGCGCACTCTGAAGCATGGTTGTCGTCCAGCAGCGCAGGGTGCGGACTCTGGATGCAGCTGTTGGATTCTGAAAGGGTCACGAGAAGCGCCTGCGGACTGTATGGCTGCCAAGGTCATGCGCACAGCTCCGCACTCCGCACATCCCCGAAACAAACTCTTTGCGACCAAGGCTCCCAAAGCCGCAGCTTTTGCCGACTCATGCATAGGCAGATGCAGTCGAGGCTACAGAGCAACAGTCATGCGACCGATATCTGGGTGTCCGTAGCCTTGCTGGGCTAATCAGCTGCATGACAGCGTTGGTCATGAATCAAAAGGTGTGCGTCGGGAATGTCTGCCGAAGCATCATTGATGGCTTCTCTGCTGAAGCCAAGCACTGCCGGAGCAATCGCAGCAACATGCGGTCAAGCTGAGGCTCTGAGGTCGTCCCATTGCTCCATGCACCGCACGCATGTTTTGGGCTATAAGCGCAGGTCAAAGACATGATACGTGTGTCTCATGGTAGAAACGACGTGGAGCTTCTCAGAAACTGACAACCTTAGCCGCCAGGAGAACGTCTGTAGCAACCACTTTCACACATTCGACGGCTGAACAGCATGCGAGACAAGACATCGCAAAAATGGTGAGTAACTTTGAGCTGAATACTGATGCTGTGGCCTCTAGTGACTTGTGCTGACCGGCAGCTCCGGCGACGAGAGGTCCAGAATATCTCTGCGAAATGACCGCCAATCAGAGTCCTCAACGAGACACACTGGTTGCAACTATCAAAGCCAACTTGCGTCGACAAGTGTGGCGAGGAGTTTGTTGCATGCCGCTGCGTCGTGTAAGTTTTTCTGTTACGCATATAGGGGGCTTGTGCCCATGGCTCTGGAGACAAATTAAAGCTGGAAGCTCCGAATGTCCCACAATATCCCACAAGTGATTGACTTACGATTGGAAGTGACACTGCAAGCCGATCAGAACTGAGTTGCAGTGCTCCTCCAGGCGGAAGACTGAAGCTAATCGGCACAAAGTATCGCAGTGGCAAAGGGCCGCTCCGACCTGCACAAACCCCAGCTCATCCTTCGAAGGAGGCGAGCGAAAATGTTGAGAGGGATGGGCAAGTAACTCTCGAGTTCCGGAGATGGAGAAGTTGCACATGCCAAAAACGGCCAAAGGGGCTGAAGCGGCAGCTCTAGTCTGCGGAGAAGTGGAGAGTACGTCCTTGCGCCACACTGACCCGCACCGATTCCCAGTGCCTTGTCCAAATCCACAGCTTCGTTGCCGAATCCTGCCTGAGGTACGACAGCTCCAATGAATCATTACCGTCTTTGGCTAAATGCACTTGGAACCAAGTTTTGTACAGAACTTGCTGCTGAGGATCAAGACAATGCAGTGCCGAGGGAGTGGGCGGCTTGATGCGACTTTGCGCATCTACGGCCTCATCTGGTTGTCCGCCCAGCGCCTGTCGAAAAGAAGCGGAACGCGGAGTTCTGGATAAAGACAAAAGAACCTTCTGACTTTGTTTGCATCACGCTTGATGACTGTCGGTGGCCTGCAGAAGCAGTGTCTTCACAGACACGCTTTGGCCTCTGCCTCATGCTGGGTGGGCCACTTGAAGGCCCGCTTTTATTGAGGGTTTCGTTCAGCTGAGAGTCTTTGCAGGGCTCCCACAAAGGAGACTTGGCGCTTGGGAGCCAAGGACTGAGTGTTGCGATTCCTGAGAGAAGAAATGAGACTGCCGGCTCTAGACTCAAAGAGTCAAAGAGCTACAGCCCAGCCCATGGCACCCATCACCCTAATGACCTAATGCAGGCACGCAGCAGGTAGCGGTCCATCTCTGCCAGCGCCCGGACCATCTTCTTCCTGACGGAACACCGCCCGAAAGCGCTCAAAGGTGGCCAAGACTTGCATTTGCACATCTGTTAATATCTCCTGAAAACTAACTGGCGGCGCCGCCAGGAACTGGAGACGATCCAATATGCTGACACACAAAGGAGCGTCATGGGCATGACCCCAGCCTGAGACTGAGAGGTTCACAAAGCTCACAGGATTTGCAAGGCACGGGAAGCGTCAGCTCAGAACCGGACCATTAAGAAATCCCACTTGAGCTGCGTCATAACAGCATCGATCGAATATAACGAGGCATAAAGCAATACTTTCAATTTCTGGCTCTGCACCATGCAAGACCTGGGCACAAAAACGAAGGAACGTGGAAACGGCAGAAAAGGAATTCGTGTCAGCACGATAAGTAACATACATGCCCACCAAGCTGCTCCATCAAGTGTCCTGTGATCACGTTGCTGAGGGGCTTCCTTGTGACACAGCACCGACACCCGACAGGATGGTAATTCGTCAGCAGTGGCTTAGTGCTCAGGTGAAAACAGGCTCAGGCGACTCAGGCGGCGGCGTCATGGACCACTCAAAGTACCGCTCCGGAAGCTCTTGGTCTCCAGCGCCTCTCAAAGCCAAAAACCCCAGGGGCCCAGGGAGCCCAAGGGCCAGGGCTTTTTTGCTCTGGACACCTTTTAAACCGTCGCCTGTGGCTGTGGCTTCTGCCTGGAACTGTGACTCCGCCCGAGCAAACTTTGCAAAGCCAGAGACCATGCGGTCCAAGGTCTCCTGTACAAAACGTCGCAGCTGGCAGCTCTGGTCACAGCTGTCGAGTCGCCGTCCTCTTCGGATCTGAGATCTCGAAGCTGCACGCGCAAATCATCCTCAGGTTGATGCAGCTCTCGCGACGCACGCTCTTCTTCGCTCTTTCACATTTCGAGCCAAAGCACTTTGGGTCTGCGCAAGAAAAGGGCCTCACAACAACTGGCGAGGCAAACCTGATGCCCTGCGCAGTCCTATAGTCGATATTGCAAAATCGCCTCCGCAACAGGTTGGGCATTCAGGAAAGAACTGGTGCCTCCAGCAGCTGCTCGATCGGGGACACGATCCATTCACGAAGAAACCTGGAAGAAGAGAGCTCGCACAGTCGAGCAGTACCCACCGGAAGCTGGAAGCTACAGCCCATGTGCTGCACCTTCAGTGCGAGTGTGTTAAGAGTTCTCTCCGAGGCGCTGAACGACGACGTCTTCAGCTTGCTTTGCCAACGCATGTCGCACCGATCGGTTCGACAGGCGCATCCTCCAGGAGAGTAGCAATGTACCTTGATCCGGCATGGAGCATCAGCAGCCGTGGTATTGGGGGGGGGTACATCGGAGATTTACGAGCACAGCAGACATGACCAACGATGGCGCAACGCTGGTGTATCTGCGTCGATGCTGTCCGAGCTACCCAGCGTGGCACTGCTGTAGAGTGGCCACCATTTCCGCCAATGGCTGAGCTGACCGCTGCTTTCTATAAAGTTGGTCATGCTCTGGGCCATGACCTGCAACAAAGGGGCAGTGCCCTTTTGTGCCCACGGAGCCAAGGCCGCCTCGAAGGCCAAGTCGTTCTGCTGCAGTTGGAGCCGGCCCTTCTTCACCAACTCCTCCTCCAGTGACTACCGGGTTGCTTGCCTACTCCAACCTGTTCCAGGCTGTTCAACAGTCGAGGCAACCTACGCACTACTCTCGGGAGCCCTTAGGCAAAGAACGGACATCATGATGGAACCAAGTTTCCAAGATCCAGGGACCATAGGTGGAAGGTCCTGAGAGAGCATCCACTGCTTCGCACCCCGGTTGTATTCCGACCTCCGAACGCAGAAGCCGCACAACCACGCTTACCGTACTTTCAGAAGGCTCTCAAGCTTGAAAGTGCATTGCACTTCTGGTCTATGCTGGGGTTCCTACGCAGAGATGTCCTCCAAATCTTGCACCTTTACAGGAAGCATGATGTAGCATACACAATTTGCATGTCGTGAGGCCGATGGGGCTCAGCGAGGTGTCCGTAACCACACGGATGGACTGTACATTACTTCTCAAGAAGAAAGGGATCCAGGTCGGGCCTGCTCCCACAAATGGGAGGTCGCAGGCCACCTGGCATCTCGTGGTCGAAGCGCCGCCAAACATGGCAAACCCCTGGCAAAGCCCAGCCTCCACCTGGTGGCAGAAGAGGCGAAGTTCAAATCCGCCGCGGTGGAAGCTGCGGCACGTGTCTGACGAGCCGGAAAAAACTTTCAACACGTCACATCCCTCCTGGATAAGCATTCATTACCGCATTCGCCCATGTTTGCAGGCCTGCCAGGCAAGACCTTGAAGAGCCTTGGTGAGCGCTTGGCAGCGATCAGACTCCGAGTCCAAACAGGAGGACAGCAGCTCGAAGGAGGACACCTGACCGCAGAACACACACCCAAAGTGCTGGCCATATGCCGTAACCTTCTTCTCAAATGGGGGACACTTCGGCGGCGCCTGGATGAAAGCCAAAAGTCTGCATAGCTCCTGGTTGCAATGCAGTAAAGTTTTCGATTGCTCGCCTTACGAACGTAAGCTGCTTCTTCGCTGTCAGCTGCAAAGCTCTGAGTCCCAAAAACACGGGAAAGATCCAGCTTTGCGCAGTATGCAAATTGGGCAAGCTGAAATGGCTTCCACGATCCTCGTTGAGCCGCGCAAATTGCGAAGCACAGCGCTCGGGCGCAGTGATCTGGGGTCGACCGAGCCTCGACAGCTACAAGTACAGAACTATAATTACAGCAGCTGGCCCTCACTGAATGACTGCATCCGACGTCTTGACTCGATATGAGGTGTGAAAACGAAGACCTTTTTATGACTCGTGCGTCATCTCCAACTTCGCCAAGACAGGACCTCGTGGGCTGAGTTGAGGACAGCACCAACCAACTGCTCCAGAGCTTCCTGGCAGGTACAGAAGGTACGAACCGGGAAGCAACACACCGACCCAGGCTGAGTGCGAAAGTATGCAGCCAGCTCCAGTCAGGCTCAAGGCCCCCCGTCAAGTGCGTCCACGAGCAGTGGTGTGTGCGCGTGCTGCTGTTCCCACCCGGCCTTGCCAAGCGGTGTGCCCACCGCGGACGGCGGTGGACGGGTGTGGCCCAGTCCTGCCAATTGCCATGTCCGGTCTGAAGGGGCAAGAACACTCGGCCATCAGTCCCATGTGTAACTTTAACATTGTCTGAAAGCCAACACCGCTTCTGAGGGCGGAGAACACTCGAAGCTCACTGGTGTAGCGCCGGGGCTGCGGCCAGCCAGTAGTTGAGATGGATGGACACCTGAAGTGAGACAAACGATCTGACAAACAATCCAGATTGCACGATAGCCGGCCTGACTGATGAAGTTCAGCACCGCATGGTATGTCTGCAGCAAGAGCGACAGACTGAAATCACGTCTTCTTACTGAACAGCCCACAAGCATCACGCTGAATGTGACGTGCCTGTTCTTGTGACTGGAAGTAATCCTGTGCCATGAATCTGGACACTCATTGCTACAGGATCTCAGAGCGGAATCAAACAAACGCATCTTGATCGCGAGTGCATGACGGGGATGGCGGGGGTCCGGGGCCGTCGTCGGGGTTTTCGGAGTCCTTCAAGAACTCTGCCTCCTCAAATCCGTCTGAACCTCGTGCTGAAGCGTCGCAGATGTGCAAACGATGCTTTCGCGACAAAAACTAAGCCCAAGGCTCTCCAAGGAATCTCGGCTCTTTGAAGCCTCTGCGCCGCAAAAAAACACTGGGCCATCCGCAAGGCGTGTCGTTCTGCCGAAACCTCTGGAGACGGCGCCGGCGTCCGGAGGAGGCTTAAGGGCTCTCCTCGAGCTCCCAAAGGCCCCAAACAGCCACACAGCGCTGCAAAGCAGTGAGTCAGGTCCTCTTTCATCATACCATCGCGCCAGAAAGCTTCGCAAACGCCTGGATTTTGAGACCGATACACAGTTCCTAAAAAATCTGAAGGTTTAATTACTGGCCTGCGGCCAACGAAAGGAAGTCCCCCCCACTGCGGCGCCAACATCCTCTTTTACCTGCTAAGCTGATTGAAAATCCGCAGGAAGCAGGCATCCAACGGTCGCCAAAGAAGCCAAACCTTACAAACGTCACCGCCTCCCCTCTTGCAGGCGGCGCTGCCATGGCAAGGACGAGGCTTTCACGGCAAGAAACAGATGGGTAATTACAGGTGTGCGGTCGGGGCGCGCGATGCATGTCAAGAGTCGGCTTTCAATCTTAGCCAAGTTTCATGCAATCGCAAACCCAATGGATTGAAACACTCCCGAAGCCATCCTTCGAACTGCCAAACCCGCCCTCTTGTGCTTTCAGCGAAAGTGGTGATTGGACCAGGGAGCCCTGTGCATGTCGCTATGTTTCAGGCCGGATTGGTGGGGCCGGCTGGTTGAAGCGCCAGCAACTTTCCTTGTGTGCTTTGGAGCTGCAGCCAACGGACATGCAAGAATCGATTGCAGATTGAACTGTTTTTCTACACAGTGAGTTGGGCCTCTTGGTCACCGTTGCTTTGCAACACAATGAGTAGTGCAAAAACACTTTGGTCTGCATCAAACCAGGTCAACGCCCGTGAAACCAACGTGTCGAAAGGCAGAACCAACAACAACAGCATAGTGACTACTCAACTACAAGGCTTGTCAATTGCACGGTTTGCGTTTTCTTGATTTCTCACGGAATGAATGATATCATCCTTCGCTCATGGGCTGTAAGCAAAGGTTTTCGAGTCACTGGCTGAACTGACGAATGGCCTTCCGTTGTGTCTGATGTCGTCGACAACTTTCAACATGAACGGCTCCAACACAACAAGATAACATAACTATTGGGGTGATGTCCTGTCTTGTGGACACAAAGAACAAGTGTCGTCCATTATTCGTCCGTCCTGCCCCCCCCTCGCCGCCTTCTTGTGTCATTCAATTCGTGCGGAGCCCCTTCCAGTCTCGCTAGGTTTCAAATTGGCCTCAACGGGACTCGCCTTTCCATTTCACTGTCAATGTCAACATTTGTGCTTGCCAGATCCGTACAGAATAGGAGCACCAACAAAGCAAGTGCTGGCCTTGCGCACGCCGGCACCAGCAGACTCTCTCATGCCCTGGCGCAACATCTCTGTGCCCATCTCGCTTCTGTCTTTTCCAATGTAAGCTACCTCTGTCGAATGCTCCATGGATGCGAGCGCACGCGTGAGGTTGACAGGCTCCTTTCGAAAGGACGTGGAAGATTTTGGGGGGATGTCGCAGTAAGGTGAAGCTCTCTGTTGGTGTGTTGGGTCCTGTGCGATGGATTCGTGGCAGTGCTCGACACCATAATGAGCTGCAGCGCTCTCCTTGCTGCAACGCTGGTGCCGATGCGACAGGCAAAGTCCACACTCAGAGCGCGGCTGGTGGTCTGTGGGCCGCTGCCAGGACTGCAAGGCATCATGCACTGTTAGCGGCCTTGGAACGCGCGGTTTTTCACCTCGCCCAACATTAAACCTGCATCACCAGCATGTGGGCCGACAGCTGGCTGCGAGAACCAGGCCCTCTAGCCCCTCTGCTGCAGCAAAAATCCGCCAGCCACTTCTGAAACGGGCTGGGGTCTCGGCGCCCTGGGTGCTGAGCTCCGCGAGGCGTGCCAGGGACATGTCAGCAACCATGCCAAACGAAAGACCCTCCTCTGCAGGGTCGCAGCAAGGCATCGCCGAAAAAGCAGAGTCGGAACCGACGACTTCCTGTCTTCGACTGGCCTGCGAGGCCGAGACAGCAGAAGCTCGCAATCTGTTCGCCGAATCCTCCGAGTGGACGCTGCGTCTCTCCTTGTGGGCGCTCCGACTGCCCGGCCTGCGGCGAGTGCCCCGTGAGCCGCCGTCGAGCCATGCTTGTGGTCGCGGCCATCGAAGGTGGGTGCAGAAAAGCCGGTGACGCACCTGATTTTACCAAGGATCCTCCAAGTTATTGGGATATGATAGGGGCTGCCTCTCGGGAGCAGGGCCCCAGCTCAGACGCCATGCTAGGCTGTGCTCAGGTCCAGACGACTCCAGCAACCGTTTGCCAAGTTCTGGGGCTCCGAGTCGCAGATGATGACAACGACTGGACAGCCACTGCTTGCAAAGAATGCCGAGAGCGATTGAAAGCGGCTTCGGGAACAGCAAGCAACTCGACCACTCGATGGCCTTGCGAGACGAGGGCTTGCAGCACCTGGGCTTCTTGTCTTGTATCGCTGCGAGTCCAGGTTACGAGTGACTTCACACTCACAGACCCTCAACTCCAGTAGTGCAGCATCCCCCTGGCCAGAAGGCCAGGGTCTTGTACAAGCTACGGTTCCGCAAGCGCAGCCAGATCACCGGCTTAGAGCGGGAAGCTTGTCCGGCGAAGCCCTGCAACATGTTCGCACAGTCCTGCATGGCAGCGGCCAATGCTGTGCTTGCTGCAGGCACGACACTAAACATAAAGCCTGTCGAGCGGTGGAAGGCCTCTAGACCACAGTAGGACGCTTTACCTGTCTGACCGTGAAATTATCAGCAACACCTGGCAGAAGATTTGTGGGATTCTCTGACCTTACATGGATTCCTTTGTCACTATTTTTCCTCCAATAAGGACTCAGTAGAGACCACATTCAATGCTCGACGAGCGTGCATCCTTGCTGAGCCTGCTGCCTGCAGAAGATGTCTGCGACCAATAAACCTAGACTTCCAATAACCTCAAGGTCGTTGGCATAGGCCATATAGGATTCATGCACACGTGCACTACATGATTGAACAAACCAAGAGGAATGTGACGATTGCATTGGCTTCTCTTGTACCATTATATCTGGCGGTCTCAGCCAAAGCGAACAGAAGTCGGATTCTCTGGCCGCGGCCTGGGCACCAAACTCACGAAGCTGGGACATCGCCGAGCAGGAGATGGCCATGTGCAAAGCAGAGCCGCGCTACCTGCGGTGCCACTCTGGTCAGAAGCCACACCCCCGCCGAGGCACGCGGGGCCTCGATGAGCTCCATGCCCAGGCTGTGCTTGCTGAGTCTTGTGGGCTGAAATGCAAAGCCTGGCTCTACGATTCGATCTCTCTCCGGAGCGCTGCTCTCACAAGACTTGCCGTGACTTGCCCTGGACCGGCCTTCGTAGCTGCTTCTCTGCCTGTTCAGAACCATTCGCGCCGCCAGCCAAAACCACAGCACGGAATAGGCCCGGGCCGAGAGCTTGCTGAAGCGGCTTCTGGTCGATCTGCGACACAGCCGCACCCCGCACCGTGTTGGCAAGGCCCTGCAGCGGCTTCAACTCGTCTAGGGAGTCTAAAGAGCTCAGGGTGCGGAACGCTTGCGCAAGCGAGCTGCACTGCAGCAATGTTTCTGCGAAGCGGCGCTAAACGGGCTGAAGTCCCCATATTGGGAAGTTCCTGTCCCATCCACTGTTGTCATCAACGAAAGGCGCCGAAGGTGCTGTGAACATTTCTTCCTTGTTGAAGTTGCTTGTATCCAGATTGCCTCGGCTGATATCGGCCACAAGTGCCCCAAGATGCAAGCACCTTCCCCTACATGCAGGCTTCCCATGTCAGCGCTCAAATTGGCCATGCTCCGCCGGTGAGGGTTGCAATGCGTGTTTTTGATAAAGTAGCTCGTCCTGTGCGGCGTTCTTCCAACGTTCCGCTCATCCTCAAGCCTGCTCTAGAACGCCTATATTCTGTGCTTCTTTGCTTGCTTGCTTGCTTGCTTGCTTGCTTGCAAGGGGCTTAGGGACTTGGGGCCGGAAGGTTTGATGCAAGCATCTGCCGCAGCAGTTCGCCGGTCGCTTCTCGCGGGTTGTTCCCCGGCACAGTGGCAATCTAAATAACACGAACAAAGAGGACACCCACTGAAACCCTCCGCAAACCAGTCGCACGCCAACTGCACTACCCTGTCTTTCTCTTTCTTTCTGTGGGGCTACAGACCCGGGCCCCACCCCAGGAGGGGCGTCCCGATGCTCGCCTTTGGCGAGCAAATGCTCTCCCCCGTCTACGCCCTGGACCACGCCGTATCTACTTCCACAGAGTTAGCTCCTTCAACCGCACCGCCGAGCAAAACTTACGCAACCATGCCCTACCGAATCGTGTGGCCTCATCTCGTCTTGTGCTACGAGGTTCGAGGGCCGTGCAGAGTGTCAGGGGTGTGCTCGTCCCCAAGGCAAGAAAGTCATTTCTCGGCGAAACAAACAACACTACCCCAGTCCTAAATGTCCTGAACTCCTAAACTCACATCCAAGAAACATTCTGCTTGACTGAAGCTTGCCTACCTAACTCTGCATAGTGCTTGTCTGCTAAAGCATCGCCCGGCACGATCTAAGCCCGAGCTCCTGCAGCTTCTGCTCCTGCGGCCGCTAGGGGGCTACGCGTAGTGCGGGTGGCAGTCCAGCCGCCCGAGGCACGCCTCCTTCAAGGGATGGGGTCGATAGCAGACGCTGTGCGGCAGCACGCACGAAGTAGATCGCATCCCCCCCGGCCCCTCCTCAGAGCACGCCCCAACTGCAACCCGATCACTGCCCGCTTGCTGCCTCTCTTTTGCTTGCAACGCGTCATCGGAGGGCTCTCGGCCCCGCTCCGACCGTCAGCGGCGATCCGGTTGGGGGGCGGTGGCATTGGACGAAGGCCAAACCCCCCAAGGCTCGCGGCGGTCTGTCTGATCGGCCCCTTTTGGGGGTGGGAGATGAACACGTTCCCTGGAACGAGCCTGTAACCCCTGCCCCAAGAACACCCCTTCTAAACCCTGACCATGAAAACCCTTCAGGCTTCACTCAAGTCATCCGTGGTCTCCCCAACCTATGTCTTGTTTGGTCTGGGAGCCAAAGGTGGATGCACCATCTCAAGGCAATGTGACCACCGACAAAAGCAAACGATCATCAAGTAGCTCTCTCTCCCTCTCTCTCCCGGGCATAGGGGTCGGTCAGGACCCCCGGGCATTCAGCCCACCCGCAAGTGTTTTGCGGGAACGGAGGTGTGAAGAGCTTTCTTTCTTTCTTTCGCCAGGGCTACGACCGAGGGTTGCCCCTCGATCGCGCGCGTCAGCGCCCCCGTCTGTTACGGGGCCAGTTGTGAAATTAGATGCGGTGCAACATCAAGGCAATCAGCGAATAAGCCTTGCAATCAGAAGCGATACAGTATGCACCCGAGCATGAAGCGGATTGCCCATCCTGTTGGCACTTGAGCGGGGCTGCCCCCGAAATCGGCATGGTTGGTCCCTCGTTCTGAAAGCAAGGTCCGAAAGTCCAGCAACCAAGCAGAGATCAGATGAAAACCGGCCATCGATGGACCAACACTTCGTCGCATCCCTACTCTCGTTATCTGCCTCCACACCTGGAGTCAGTCGAGGCCTGCCAAGCCCACCGAAGCCAACCGAGGAAAAACCCCCGAACCTACTGAAGTCAAGGCAACCTGAACAAAAGCACTGTCGAAGATTCCCGGGACTCGGGTTCGTGGGAGCCGGAGCCTAGAGTGCAAAGGACAGACAGCTCAACCTAAAAGCAAAAGTGCAAGTGGCCGTTATCAATGTGGCTTCCGGTTCCTGAATCCTGGGTCCTGGCCGAGGAGCATAGCTCTCCCCGGACTTCATCGAGGGCCTAGGGACCTGAACCTACCTTGCAAAGTCCCCCGAAACAACGCAAACACACCCCTCCTGGAACCTTCTGAAGACAAAGAACCTGAACAAAACCCACTCTCGCAGGTGGGATGACCCCCCTAAGTAGCGCGGAGCAGCGCTCAGAAATTTTATCGGGGTTTCCCCCTCAGTAGTGGGCAGCGTTCCAGGGGCACTTAGGCCCGGGTCTTAATCCCCGTCGAAGGCTGCATGCGCTCGTCTGCGTCGATGCGAGCTGACCGAAACTGTCTCCTCGTCGCTGGGCTCGGCCGGCAGAGTTGGGGCCAGTTCTGCAGTCGGCAGTGCACCCACCGTTCCAGTTTGGTCCGGCCCTGCGCTGCCCAGACCATCCGTGAGAACAATGGGTTCTCCCCACAAGGCTTCCGTCCATTGTGACAGTAGCGAGTGGACTTCTTGAAGTGTTGATGCCACCTGCTGCTCGGTGAAGGGCATGACTCCCTCCAAGATCTGCTGAGCTCGCAAAATATTGTAGGGTGCTGCCCCTGGTTCAGGGCTCCGTTTGGCTCCTTGGGGTAGTCCAGGATCGTGTTGCCGGCCATCACGGGCTGGTGCAGGTACTGCTGGATGTTGGGGGTTCCCCCCCAGCTTCAAGTCTGTGCTTTGATTGGTGCTCGGAGGTTTCCATTCGTCCTTCACGGCTGGCTGAAAGCGTGGTACGCAATCGCTGCTCGAGGCTTGTTCAGTTCGCCTCCTTTTAGGGGACGGGCTCCCCTTTTCCGCGCTCTCCCTGAAGTGCTTCTCAATCCACTCGAGGAGCTGGTCCAGGTAGTGGCTGCAACGTTGTGTGGCTGCCAGTGCCAGTCTGAGGTTTTCATCCAGGCTTGCGATGCCCCCCTCTTCGATGGAAAGGTGCGAGAAGCTAACCCCGTCCAGCGCGTTTTGAGAGGCAGCGGTGCCGGGCAGTGCTCCTGGGGCATTGGGGTCCCGTGCCCAACTCTTAAAGATTGCCCTGCCATCACGTAGTAGGTCTTCTGCTCGCCGGAGTTCTTTTTGCAAGTGTCGCCGAGGGAGTTCACGATGATTTTGCACCAAGCCATCTAGTGTGGCTTCCGCTTCGACGAAGGTATTAGTGATGCAGAAGACCATCGCCGTGGGGCCGGGTGCATCGGCATGAACGGGGTGATCCCCCGATGGTGGTTCTTGCATCTGTCTGTCATTGGTGCTCTGCATCTTCGAGAGGTAGTAGCAGGCATGATAGGCCAGGTTGGTCAAGTATTCGTTGGAGTGCGTAAAGGACTGCTGCAGGATTTCATGCAGGACCCTGTGCAAGAGGCGGAGGAGGCCACTGACCGTGTACTCGCCGTCGAAGTTAGCTGCCACGGAAAACCACTGGTTCTCCGGCTCCGCTGGTGGTTGTGGTGGCTCGGCTTGTAGTGCTTGCGGTGGGCGCGGTTCGTCCAAACTGGATCCCCGGGCTGGGTCGCTGGCTTCCGCCGTGAACTGCGGTCGCTGTCTCTGCATGAACACGACGATGTCGTCCAGTTGGGTGGATGCAGTAGGCGCCGTGGAGCTCATTTGTGTCAGCCCGGTAGCGTCACCCTCCGGAGGGGCCGGGTCCTCACTAGGCCAGCTGGTTTCGGTGTCCGACCCCGAGGAAGGCGGCGGTTGTGGCGGTCTTGCTTTGGCCGTGGGTTTGCGCTCTCTCTGCCTCGCTTGCGGCCTGCTTCCTTGGTTGCTTGGGCTCTCTGTACTTGCCATAGGTCTCGAAGAGCTGGTAGCTTCTGTAGTCGGCTGCGCATTGTCATGTGGTTGTGGAATAAGCCTCCCCCGCAGTGGCCGGGTGTCCACGAAGCGCTGCGGGTTGAACCCCGATGCATGACTGGGTCGGCTTCGAGGTACATCTGGAGGATCTCGTCTTTGTGGGGGCGTCGGCGGCCTTGGTGCCTTGTCCTCCGGGATTGTGGAAAAACCTCCAAGGGCCTGGACGTCGTTGTCGAATCTGGGTCTGCGCTGCCAAGTTCTTTCCACTCCACGCCATTCGAGCCAGAAACTCTGCCCAGAGCGGAGTGGAATGCGGTGTGGTACCGGGGGCGGAGCATGATCGATGACCACTAGCCAGAATCTCGGTGTGCGAGCGAACCCTAGCTCAAAGCGAGTTGTTGCGATCCACTCGCCGGCGGGGTGGATAGTCATGTGCATCGAGTCGGGGAGGACCTCCCCGTCGGAGTGGCTCGGGAGGGTCTTGTACACGACTATGGTAGGCTCCACTTGCTGCCTCGGTGGGTGTTGTATCACCGAACCAGACGGAGGAGACCAGGTTGCTCCTCGCCACGCCCCAGTGGCTGTGCTTCGCATGCTGAGGACTGTGTTGGGGTGCAAAGGCATCGGTGGTGGTAGTGTACGAGGGGTCACCCCCTGCACCCAGGATAGGTCGTGGCTGTTGGCATCCACTCGCACGCTGCTTCGCATGCTTGGGCCTTGGCCTTCCACCGTCCACGGGGGGGCACGCCCCGATTGAATAGCCTCCGCTGCTTGTTGGTCAAGATCACTTGTACCATAGAGGGGTGGCCCCGCTGTTTGCATGGTATCGCCAGGTTGCGGATCTGGAGGGACTGGCCGGCTGGACGACGACGAGCTCGAACTTGCTTGCGTCAGGTGTCTTGGCTGCACCACGAGTTGGTCACCCTCGACGTTGTGGAGGTGGTTGTCCTGGTCGTTGATGCGGTCAAGGCCCCGCGGCAGCGGTTCGTTGTTGCGACGGTGTTCTGGCCTGTTGTCCACCACCCGGATGGGATAGTTGTGGACTCCATCGCCTCTAAGTTGGACCGTAGTGCTGTCGGTGAGTTTCCTCCATACCTTTTGCTGGCGGGTAGGCTTCGGAGGGGTCTCTCGGTGTCCTTCCGGTAGTTGGAACTCCACTCTTTTTGGGTTCATCCCGGGCTCGCCTTGGTGATGTTCGGGTCGGCGTGGATCCAGAGGAGCATCTCGTGGAGGCGCTGAGGTGGAACTCTGTTGAGTAGCTCTGCCTGCACCTGCTCCTGTGCCTGTACCCGATTGGGCCGGGGTTGACTGCGTCGCCGCCTGGGATGCCCTAGTCGAAGAGGTTGCTGTGGGTCTTGTCGCGGCCGGCTGTAGATATGGATTGTTTTGCCTCCGTTGAGCATGATCTTGACGCGCTTGGTTCGAGGCTTTGTCTCCCCGAGCAGGTTCTGGGTCAGTATGGGCTCGTGGTGGATGAAGAGGGACTATCTTCCCCTGGGCGTCGTAGTGGTAGAGGTGAGCTGATAGTCGTGCATTGAGTTGTTCGCGTTGGGGTGATGGCGTCGGCGGGAGCGGCTCTTTCGCCGGGGGTTGTTCTCCCCTGAGGATATAGTCTAGGGCCTTTCGCCAGCTCAACCATTTCGGCTTTTTGCCCCAGTCTAGTTCTCGCCATCTTTTCTTGACGTCTGATTTTCTGGCTTTGTTGGTCACGCGCTGAGAGCCGTGGCCCGACTTCCTCCTGGGGGGTTGCTCCCCACTCTGGGTGGTTGCTTGTTCTGGTGCATCATCATCCTCCTCACTGTCGGCCGAGTCGCTGTCCCAGTCTGGGTCGTCTTGAACCTCCACCAGGTCCTCTTCATCCTCCGCCAGGGCGTTCCCCGGGGCCGTGGCAGCGTTGTTGTGGAACTCATGGCCAGCTTGCTGAGGTTCTGCGTCTTGGGAGGGTCCGGATGCATACAGCAAGGCATCTTCAGGAGCAGCGTCTTCTCCTTCGCCTGGTAACGCGGTTGCACAGCTGGGCTCGTCGGGCTCGTTGTCGCATGTGGAGGCCTCGCTCAGAGTAGGTGAGGGGCCTTGCCTCCCCTGTCTGCGACCTCCGAGTCCCAGGGCATTGTGGCTCCACTGCTCAGGAGGTAGTAGAGGACCTTGCGAGGCGTACGTCCTGGCTATGACTCCCCACGAATCCATGCTTGGGGGCTCAAACTGCCCGGCTCCTGGAAATTGAAGCCCGGCGGTCGTGCCCTGAGCGCTGTAGGCTCCATGTTGCCATTGTGGAGGTTGTTGTTGAGGATGATGGGCTGGAAGGCCGGGATGCGGTTGGTCCAGGTCATCCTCCCATGGGTCGTAGGGTTGTGCTGCCGCCTGCATGAGTCCAGCTTGTTGAGGTACCTGGGCTGAATGCTGTGGTAGTTGATGTCTGCTGGCCAGGAGGGCTCCCATTTCGGGCGAGACGCCGTCGAAGGTGCCGTCTTCGTGCCATGGGTCCGCTGCCGGGTCGTATGTCGGGGCATAGCCGATTCTGTAGGTGGGATATTGATGTTGTCCTGCTTGGGCCGCGGTTTGTCCAGGAGCTTGTAGCTGTTGCAGAGGGGCACCACCCCTTGGCATCTGTCCTGCTGTTTGCCCGTAGGTCGGAGGCTGCTGCACGTACTGGACTCCATGTGCTCGAGGTTGTCCATGTGGTTGGGATTGTGGCCTGCCTTGGGCTCGCTGTTGTTGTAGTCCCGGGAAGGTCGCCGATGACGTAGCTGACGAGCCAGGGTTCTGGGGAGCTCCCTGCCGACTTCTTTGTTGTGGCTTGTCTTGCGGTCGGGCTGGTTCTGGCATGGAGGGTGCTTCCAGGATCCTGGGTTGTGCTGGCGGCTCGGGCTCAAGAGGGGCCCACGGCATTTCCGAGGAGTCACTGTCTTCGCTGGAATCAACGATCACGACCTTTGGGCTTGGGCTGGGGCCCGCCTTACTGAGGAGGCACCAAAAACCTCCCAGCAGCAGGCAGCAGAGGCCACACGAGGTGCGGCGCTGGCTGTTCGGGCAGGGCGCTCGTGTCGGGCGGTACATGGTGCACCGGAGTCTAGGCTGTCGCAAAGTAGGCTTGGGTCTTGAGACACAGGCTGCATGCCCACGGGCTATTTGCTCGCAAAACATGCACTGCACTGCAGCTATCAGGCCCTGGCACATTCACTGGCATGCAACGGCAAGGTTAACGCAGAAAGGACTGTGTGCTGTCAAACATGAACATGGTCAAACTTCGTGCAAAGCTCAGACACGGGTCGGGGGTGGGCGGGGAGAGGCACGGGTCACGGGGGGGGGTGGGGCTTAAACCCAAACACAAATGGATCGCATGCGTGGTCTGCCTAATTGGGTGTGCGCAGTTTGGGAACGCTACACCGCAAGAGGTCCAGAACTGAGGGGTTGGCATGAGGGCAACTAAACCCTAGGGAGCAAGGCGGGGGCGTCGAGCAGGGCATCTTACAGATTCCACTCAACTTTCCTGCGGGGCAGTCATTAGTCAGGTGGCTGCAATGGCACGAACTCTGGGGCCGGCGCCCAGGCTGAGCCCAACGCGGTTAACGGGTGGCGGCTGTCTTCTGTTGGGAGCTAGGTTGGGGGCCCCCGGCAGCGTGAGTTGGTTTCTGCTTGCCCAGGGTGGGTCGAAGGCGTCAATGAAGAGTTTGCACATGTGCTGCCATTGAGGCCGGTCGTTTGCTGCAATCCACCACTGGCTGCCTGCAATTGCGGAGATTTGTCTCTCCGGGTCAACGTGGGGGTTGTGGTGACCGATATGTCGGACCCCCCGAGGAAAGGGGCCGGGGGGAAGGGCTTGTTGGTCCTTCCACCAAGTAAGGTCTCTCCAACGGAGGATATGAAAGGTTGGGGCAAAAGTCGCTCGGCCGATGTGCCCCCAAAGCTGCCACTGCATCTGTAGCGAATGGGTGGACCACCTCATGATCTTATGCTGATGCAGGACTGCGCGGGTCTTCCTGAGCGACCTGATATGCCAATCTTGCCAGGTTTCCGTGGGGGAACGGCCCCCGCAGATCATCGTGCGAGCCTGCAAGAGTTGTGTGGTGTTGGCTGCTTGGAGCAGAGCGGCTTGCGGGGGCCAGGCCGGGCACCCCCAGAGCGCAGCGCTACGCACGAGAGTCTGGTGCATTTTGAGGCGGTCGGCCACGGGCGCCCGCGAGCAAAGCAGCTTACGGTTAGCATGGAACGCACAGCGGGCCCTGCTCTGCATCTCGGCCACTAGCGGTGCAATGGCACCGGACAGCGTGACTGGCGCGCCCAGAATGGTGAGGATGCTATGTGGTCCATCGGGGGCGACCTGAACTCCTCCTATCGAGAAGCGGAAGGGGTCGTCGGGGATGGTGGAGACGACGTGCGTCTTCTTGGCATTGATGCGCAGGCCTAGCTCAAGAAATGCCTTTTCTAGTGCGGTCAGGACCTCTTGAACGTATTCTGGGGATTCCCCCCAAACATATGTGTCATCCATGAAGGCTGCTCCAGAGTGTGGCGGTGGCTCTAGAGCACCATGTCTGCCTACATGAGGGGGTTTCCCCCCGTGGACCTGGCTTAACACTGCATCTAGGGTCTCCCCTATGGCCGCGGCAAACAAGACTGGGCTGTCGGGGCTGCCCTGTCGCACCCCGTTGGTTTGTTCAACTGAGACCTTATGTTTCTGAACGTAGAAGTTCAGCTCACGCGCTTCTAGTAGTCGGAGCCACAGGCGTGCTTCCCAAGGCATTTCGCCCCGATGGGCTATCTTGCGCATCACAAGGTCGCCAAGTTTTTCTTGTGCAATCGAGTCGAAGGCCTTAGCAATATCTATTTTAACCACATAGAATGGCGTGCGCCATTCGTGAGACACGCGCGCTAGTTTGCGCATTGCAAGAATAAGCTCCACGCCTTGTTTATGCCTACTTGCCCATTGGTGCTGGCAACACTCAAGGAGGGCGGGTGTACCCCGCAACAACAGCAGCTGCGCTATCCACTTGAGGACCGCGCTAGAGAGGGTGATTGGCCTGGTATCCGACCAACCTTGCGGGACCGCCGTTTTGGGCAGTAGAACTGACGCGCCTTCGGTGACCCAGGGGGGCAAATCCCCCCTGTAGAGACTGTCGTTGAGAAGCTCCGCAATGCGTGGTCTCCATCGGGAGTCTTCGAAAAGGAGCTGCAACGCTTCTAAGGCTACGCCATCTGTGCCAGTGGCCTTATGCCGTTTCCACTTGGACATAGTGATTCGCATCTCTGATTCGCGAAAGGGGGGCCACGGCTGGTGTTTGCACATACGGGCGCATTCGTCCCGCATCTGTTGCATGGCTTGTTTGGTGGTGTCTGCCGAACGTTTGGCGAAAATCGAGGTCATATGCTTGCGGAGGTCATCCTCCCAGGTCTCGTTGTCGAGCAGGTGTTCTGCCCAATTGGTGCGAGACGATTTGGTCTTAATGGCTCGATACGAGTTCCAATTCATGGAACCTGCTTGGTCTGCGAGCTTGCGTTGCCATTCTTTCCGTTCCCGTTGGAGCGCCTTGCTCACTTGTTTCCATGCACTGCGCGCGATTGGGCCAGGGGGCGCCCCCTTTGCCGTTTTGCGAAGTTGCTTGAGGGCCTTGGACTCTTGGAACTTCATGGACCGGTGGACTGGCTCACTAATCAGCTGTGCGACGGCTGCAATTGCATGGTGGTCATCAGCATGCATGGGTTCTGATGAAGCGAGCACCTCATGGCAGTCGGCTTTAAGCTGCCTGGCACACCAAATGACCTTACCTTTGGGGCCTGGCGGCGTCGGCACAAGTGCGGCTGCCAGAATCGGTTCATGATCGGATCGTGCTCGATCGCGATAGGCGCCAACTGTCGCCTCATAGATTGCTAAGTTTCTGCTCGCAACGTAGTCAATCCTTCGCGGCGCTAGTTCGGGGTTATAGGGGAAATGGCTGGGGGAATCGCAGTCTTGGGGAGGAAGGCAAATCCCCTGCTCAGTGCACCACATAAGGATCTGCTCGCATCTGCCTGTGCAAGATAGTGTTTCCTGCTCAAGCAGTCCCCCTGGCTGGAGGAAGGTTTCATTTGCATCAAAACCAAGTAGCAGCTTGGGCTCGGCACACGCTGGGGTCTCCCCCCACTGTTGCAGTGCGGCGGCGGTTTCAGCAATCGTGAACTTATGCGAGATATGACCTGAAATGAGTCCAATGCGCTTGCTGCTGTGTAACCTCAGACATGTAGTGCAAGCGGCAAGTCGGAGGTGGGAGGTATGATGCACCCCCAGGGTCTTACGATATGCAATCCCACATCCTCTCCACTCGGACTGTAATTTGCCGTGGACCAGCATCCACGTCTCGTTGTCAAGGAAGTGCGGACCGCCTTGCGTTGTAATCTCTTGGAGAAAGACAATGCATAGGCAGGCAAGGGGTTTTTCGCCCCGAAAACTGGAGAGAAGGTCCAGAGCTGCTTCCGGGCTCATCCCCCCAATGTTCCAGGCTGCAAAGTGCAAGGCATCGCGCGTTGCCCGGGGAGGAATCCCCTGTTGGGATGCCGGGGGCGTTCGCGCTGGCAAGTGGTGAGACATATTGGGGTCTTCCCTTAGTGCGAGCTCGATGTCGGTTCAGCGCAAGGCCGCCAGTAGCGGCTCCCATGTCCTGGCCAGTTGTTGGGGGTCCACCCCAATGAGCTCTGCGATGCGTGGCAGGTCAATCCAGCCACATCCGGCCCCACTGGAGCCCGGGGGTCCGGCGGACGTCCCAGAGGAGATCTTGGTGTCCTTGAGCCAGACCGTTCCAGTGGCCCATTCAGGTTCGACGCGCGAAACAAGGGATGACCCCCCTGCTTCGATGACGCCGAACTCCTGGGACAAAGGCGTCTGCCATGTTGATCTGCAGCTGTAAGTCACGTGCCATCTCATTCGCCTTGGCCAGGACATCTGCAGCCAGGGTGTCGGGGGGCCATCCCCCCATCACCAGGGCGGGGACTCGCCCTGAATCCATAGTTGACGGGGTGCTCCCCGATGATTGGATCGCCTTCACTGTGCCTTCCAAGTTGTTGATGCGCGTCGCCATTGCTTGTGAGTCGCTCATGAGCTGCTGTAGCCGAAGTCCTTGTTCAGCCTGACCGGTGGAAAGGGTCTCCACCGCTTGGAATGTCCTCTCGTTGTGGCTTTGGAGGCTGCGTTCGAGGGCTGCAACTCTGTCTGTGACTCCTCCTACCGCACCTTGGATCTCCGTGCGAAGGACTTCTCTGATGGATTCGAGGCTGAGGCCTTCCTCGGAGGGAACCCCCCTCTTACGGGCCGGAGACTCCGTGTCCATGGCCTGCTTGTTGAGGGCCATCGTGCCAAGCGTAGGGCAAGGATTGCCAGCTTCTCTTCCTGCCGGTGACACAATCCTGGAGCAAGGGGAAGTCCCTAATCGCACCGAGGCGGTAGGCTTTGTGTAGGCTCGCCGATCACGTAGGCACCGTTGTGGGCAAAGTCCTTAATGTTCAGCGACGGCAGCGGTCACCGTCCGGGAACGTTGCACACCTAGGGTATCCTCAGGAGCGATAGGCGAGAGCTGGGCACAGTTCCCCGTCTCAATGAACAGCAATCGCTTCACTGGCAGAGAGAGAAAGACAAGAGTGGAGGTTTTGATTCCCCCGGTTGAGAGAGAGCGACCTCAGTGGGCTGGAGAAAGCGCAAAGGAGAAGTGGGCTGTGAGGTCACCCTCCCTTGAACCGCTCGCGGCTTGAGCCAAAATGGCTACTGAAGAGCTCTCTCTCTCTCTCCCTCCCTCCCCCTCTCTTGCTCTATAGTATCCACAGCCTCATGCCGGGGCACTCTGCAACGAGGGCTGGAAGGGCGGCACCGTTTCATGCCTTGTGAGCTGTCCTTGTGGAGGGAGGGCATTGGCTGATAGGCTATGGCTCCTACGGCAGCACATTTCTCAGAGAGTACGCATAAACAATCACTAGCTTTGCCGAATCGTGACTGTCTTGACGTGCCACTTAGGATCTCCAGTCAAAGCCGACGAACCAGTCCGCCTGCTTAACGTTTGCCACACCTGAAGGGTCCACTCTCGAGTGCACCAGCCCAGCGATGTATGCGGAGTTCAGTACTAAGACCAAGCTAACGACATCTTCCAAACTCACAGATGCCACTTCTGATTATGTGGCAATGTGGGGTACCGATGCAACTAGGAAGAGCTAGCCCGAAGTTGAACACCTCCAGGACTCCAGGAAGACTTAACGTCGCAAGCCCTTTTGGGGGCAAGGGGGCGGGCTCCGAATCCAAAGTTGAACAGCGGGCCTTTCATGGGCAGCCGTCGACCAGGCTCTCTCTTCAGAAGAGCCCGGATGAATCGCTCGGCTGCCGGGTTCACCTCACAAGCCGGCGACATCAGCGCTGTCAAACCAGTCCCAGCATGTAGCAGCTTGGAGACTAAGTGGGCGTGCCTTTGAGGGAAAGCTTGGTATCTTTTCGATGCCGGCCATCGCCTTTCCGAACGTTTGCATCGGATTGGTATCCTCGAAAGGAGTCTTGCCTCAGGTACTTGCGCATGCTTTGCCCTGCTCAAAACAGGTTACTGTCGGACTGCACTGCCTCGACACGACAGTACCGGCTACCTTTACATGCAGGGGAAGATGCCAGACAAGCACTCGAAAATAAAGATGCCGAACGCCCACCAGTCCACCGCATGATTGTGCCCGAAGGCGCCGATGATTTCTGGTGCCAGATATTCTGGCGTGCCGACGATTGTGTATGTCCTGCCGTTCACCACTTTTGCCAAGCCGAAATTCACCAGCTTGACGAAGCCGTTTGCAGACAGGAAAACATTCTCCGGTTTTAAGTCTCGGTAGGCAACCTTCCGGCTGTGGATATGTTCTAAGGCCAACAAGATACCAGCAGCATAAAACTGCGCATGGCGGTTGGATCCGTGCAGCGCGTTCGTCAGGTAAACACTGTGCAGATCACCCCCCAAGGCTGTCTCCATAAGAAAGTACACGTTCTGTTCACCAGAGAAGGTTTGCAACAGCTTGATGATGAAGGGATGGTCGAAAAGAAGCATCGTATCTCGCTCCTGCAGTCAGCTTGGGGATTAAAATCAAACTCTCTACGGTTGCCACGCACGAGGCGTACAATTACGGAAATCCTCATTGACAACACGGCGTCTCCTGCAAGACTCTTTCTTGCAAAGCCTGTTCGACAACGTATCCCTTGGACACCGACTTCACCATGTAGGGCTCGCCTGCACGGATCTGCACGGCACTCTGATGGCAGTTCAGCTTAGATTCAGCCTCGCGGCCTGTGCGTGTTTGTTGCCAGAGCTCCAGGCCGCCGAATTGTCCATTGCGAAGGGCTGCGATCTTTCTCAGATCCTGCGGAGCTTTCGTTTCGTGCGCATGCCACATGACCCGTCTCCACATCTCTGTTGCAAGGTCTCCTTCTTGCGAAGCGAAAGCAATGTGGAAGTGTCCACGGAGTGCCCCCGCGTTTGGCTTTCTAGGCCAATGAAGTCGAATCCCCTGACAAGAAGTGATGCAAGACGAGGATGCCCACTTGGGCCCGGCCCGCCAGGCCTCTTGCTCTGATTGACGATGTCCAAGTATGACCCAAAAGTGGCTGCAAATGCAACACCTCAAAGGCAAGTCTCTTCTGATTTGTGCCTGTGTGCCTTGCTTACATGCCGTCGCAAATGGAGTCTGCTCTGGTCATCACCTGCATCAGGCCACGCTGCGAATGCTAGGGCCCACGCCATCCAGTTTGTAACAAGTGGCCGTGGGAGAAGTGATCTTCACACTCCGCGGACTGGCATGCCCTGGGCCGCACAAGGCCTTCTCGCAAAAGGTGTGAACCTGGAGTTCGCTGGGCGAGAACCCAGCCGTCACTATGACCTCAGGGCACATGGCCTCCGAACGACACCAGGACGCAGCTAGGCAAGAAATGTTGCAACTGAAATCTACTGCGGGTCGGGCCACATTTAGGTCATCTTCCAAGATCCGGGCAGAGCCATCTGTCATAATATACAAGGAAGCCTCCTCCTCACCGAAGCCCACGATCTCTTCCTTCTGCTTCATGTGGCACTCGGAGAGCATCGGTGCCAGGAGACGTTTCTCGTCTTGCAGAAGCATGTCGAGCACGGGTGCGTGGTTCAGGAAGACCAAGCGCTTCTTCGCAGCGTGAGCCTTGACTCGTTACCCTGTTGCTTCGTGTTGTTCTACTGCTTGGGTCATCTGATTTTTTCTGTGGACGTTCCGTACCCGTAAATACACTCCGTTTGAATGCCAGCTCCCTACACGGAATCGAAAATTCCGGGCACCACGGTCTGGTACTTGATGCCACGTCTTGTGTATGATATCCCGCTAGTCGGCTCTCCATCGCGCAGTATCTGGGGCTGTTCAGGTTGCGCATCTTAACGTATTTCCGCAGAGTATGCAACAACTGCCTACAAGAGACTGATCACATGCACTTGACTTCAAAGAGAGCTGCGGCACCGCCTTCAGAAGCTTTAAACTAGCAACTCGAGGACGCAGTGCCATGAATGGTGCCGAGCTGCCGCAGATTCTTGTGCTGCGGTCTTCAGCCAGCCCCTAGGCAAGACCCATATGGAGGAGTTCTTTGTTGCCTTTATCGTGGCAGTTCGCGGAGCTGAATACAGTAGCGACAGCTCGCCAAAGCAGTTCCCCTTGCTCAGATGCCCGACAACTTTCCCGTCAATGATGACAGCAAACTCGCCACTCTGGATGATGTAGCAGAAGTCAGCAGTCGAGTCGCCTTGGCGAATGACCTCTTCACCCACAGTTATGTCTTCTCTCCAGGCAGGGCTCGATAACTGAGGCATGGAATAAACGTTCAAGAATTGAGAAATGTTTTCGTTCCCTGCAAGAGCGTCCAGAATGAATTTTCGATCAGCCTGGGATTTTGGGGTTGCAGGCTTCGTCTTTACGGTTTGGTGCCCTTCCACCCGGATAGCATTGCGGCCACGGAAATCCAGATCCTCTCTCAACCCCATGCTTTCAAAGACTTCACGTGAAATCTCGATAAGAGAGAGCGGCGACCCTGCACGAACTGTTGCAGCTCGCACGTCCTTCGTCAAGAGAGCGCGTTCTCCGAAAAAGTCTCCTTTTGAAAGTACTACGAGGAGCTCCTCATCGTCCTCTTGCTCTTCGGACCCTGCTTTAACCACCTCTGCTTCGCCATGCTGGATGATGTAGAAGCAATCACCCTCTTCTCCCTCTACAATGACGACAGCCCCAGTGACGTATTTCTTTTTTTGTCCAGCTTCTGCCAAAAGCGTTAGCTTAGATCTTGGCAAGCATCTGAAGAGTGGGACTTGGCCCAAGAAATTCTCGAGCTCTTCCTGATTCTTTCCCCTTCCCAAGATATCCAATGATGAGAAGGACCGAGTCAAACGCCCACCGGAAAATGATCGTGAATTCCTTGATGCAAATGCAGCCCTTGGAGAGGTCTCCGGCGTCTCAGTAACCTGCTGCCGCTCCTCCTGCTGTTGACGGCTACCTTTGGCACCCATGGCGGGCACACAGCCAATTCAAGCAGATCAAGGATCTCCCTGGCTTCACGCGACCTGTCATTGTGCTCGTCAGTGCGACTGTACTATGCCTTGAACCGAGAATTATCCTGTAGGACAAACTAGTAACTACCTGTAGCACGTGCTCTGCTGATTCAGGTTTGCTTATTGGCTTTGCACACTGACGCTCAAAATTGCAAACTAACTGCTTTCTCCTGACATGATGCATGTCTTGAGGGCCTTACGGCTTTCAGGCGGGGCGGAGCAAAAGACAAGTCTCTATCGCCCCATTGCTGCTGCCATGTGACATGACACTCAATGAACAGCTTCTGAGTGCGGCCTGGTGCCCGAGCTCAGTAATGGTGGCCATGGCAGCTTGTGCCTCATGCATGGCAAGATAAGCCATGGCAGGACAAGTCCACGAAGCAGTATGAAGTCTGCCTATGCACCGATCGGCGAATAGCCGCACAGGGTGGTCCTCAGCTGCTGCGCCCTACAGCATGCGTGCGCGGTACCCATCGCGTTGCTCCCATGCGCTGCAGCGGCGCTTTCCCAAGGCCTCGACACGGCAAAGGCCCACATGGAGTTGGCCCTGGCACCGGCTGGCACCACAAGAACTGTTTTGATGCACCTTACCAAACGATCGGGAACTTCATCACACTCTGCACACACCTCCAACCAAAAACAGGGCGGCGCTGCAGCCCTCGCGCATCGGATCCTCGGCGCATTTCCCTAACCCATGCAGCGCTTCGCCGTCGGCCCTGGCGCCCTCGGTCCGACTCCGACCCTCGCCCTCTGGCTCAGTTCAGAGCAACGCGTTTCGGCTGCCTCCTGCTGGACAGGATTCGGGCGCAGGCACTGAGAACGAGATGCACCGATCTTCCTTCAGAAGCAATGCATCGCAGGTGCGCTTTGCATCCGGAGCTGTCCTTGATGATTCGCTGCAGCTGCAGGACTCGAGGATGCTGAAGAACCTGTCCACTCTTGCTCCACTGAAATTGCAACTATTGCCCTGGCGCGCACGACGATGCCCGTAACTTATCGTTCAGGACACGGATGACTCCTTTTCCTGGTACCTCGTGTCAAGCGTCGTTTGGAAGCCTACCCGGTTCACTGACGTCTACGGTTTGCTTTGTTCACCTCCTTCCTTGTCTTGGGGTGGGCTGTACGTTCGCCATGTCGCACCCGCCCGGCTCTGCCGAGTTCGGAAGTGCAAGGTGCAGCGACAAATGGAAACAAGCTTGCAGCACAGGGACATGAGCTCACAACAAAAAGCTTGGGTGAGCTGCTTTGGGCCGTACATGTGGAGGCCGAGCATTGATCGCAACACGAAATCTGCTGCTGGCCACTCCATCGACATGGCCATCTCATGCCGGAGATGCTACACCTGTCAGCCTTGCGATGCTCTTGTTACCCAGACTTCTGCAGAGCCTCAGCACGATGCGATATTCCTGTGCACTTGGGCCGTGCTGGCAGTTATGCCCCGGCAGATGCACATGACGAGCTCCACGCAAAACGGCTTGCAGGCAAGTGTCCACATCCATCAGGTCACAGCTCTTAGCCGCGAAGAAGCAGCACTGGACGACTGAAGAGAAACCCATGCCTCCCAAAGCCGGGAGGCATGCTGCACTTAGCAGACGCAGCGTACACACACACACACACTTTGCAAAACCACGGCTGAACCGTGCACCATGCTAACTCAGGTGCCAATGCCATCGCAAGTGCACAGTGGGGCGTCCGTCTTTGCATCACAGACAACGGATGAGTGTCGATGTTAGTCTTTGCTTTTTGACTCTTGAAGCCAAGAGGCCAAGTAGGCCGCCAGCTCTTTGAGTTGGTGCTCGGCCTGCCCACCGGACTCTTCGATCTCGTTCACCACCGCCGTAAGCACAGCGGCCACCTGTGCAGCAGAACCACCGCGAGAGGCGGCGAGAGGTACACACCAACAGCAGCAGTTTTTGACACAGACGCCTTGGCCACCACTGCGCGGTCCGACTGCAGGGCACTGGGCCTTCCACTAGGATCCGAGCCTTGGGAATGCTCTGCTGCATTACCACCATTGTGCAGAAGAAGTTCATGGGTGCTATGCCATGCCTGCTATGCCCTGAGATCCTGTCCAGCCATGGCTGCTAGGCAAATTCGCTGCAGGGCACGCAGCAATGCATCCAGGTCCAGCAGCAGCTGATCGCAACCTGAGAATGTCATGTGTGTCGACTTGCTTTTTGGTCCAGCGCAAATTCGTGGGCAAGACTGTCGAGTTAAGAGAGAGGAGGGGTGCATCAAGGACGAGGAGCTCCAGCAGTTGGGCTTCAAATTCTTGTCCAGCCGTTGTTGGGTCAGCAGCTTCGTGAGTCGCGCCACCTCCTCTTCGCGCCTAAGGAAACTGCCGCTTGTCGCCCTCTACATCGCCAGGAGTTCTAAAGTTTCGTCGCACTTGCCAACAGGATCTTGCAGGAGACATGGAGTACCGAAAAGTGTATCTGTTGCGGCCTGGCAAGCGGAGGAATTCATATACGGGAATAAACTACAAAAACAGGGAAAGGGGCTTTGCAGGGTGCTCAAGACCAACATGCGAGAGTACGACGAACTTTCGTCATGCCGCAGTATGTCACTCCGGCGGGACCTCGCGACAGGCCAAGAGACTTGGACTGCTCCTGCTGCTGTGCCAGCACGTGCTCCCAAACGGCTTGGATCCGCTCCTCCAAGCCGAGCTCTGGCCACCTTAGAAACGCAGGAAAAAACCGATGCCTGGCGCTCATTGGCTCATCCCTGGTCCCTGCCCTTACTTAACTTCTCTTTTCCCTTTCGTTCATAAGAAGCGTCGCGAGAGTCAGACGGCTTTCGCCGACCAAGACTCTTGCCAACAAAATGTTACCGGCGTTCCAGGAACTGGAAGCCGATGTGCTGCCCACGACTCATCTCAACCTTGACGGCGCTCGCCGATTTGGTTGACGCAACATCTGCAAGTCAACTTGCAAGTGGGGCAAACCGGGTTGGACAGAAGCTACACAGTGCGCACAGACGGATGTGTCCGAGAGGCGGACTGAAGCTTTGCCAAAAGTAGCACTGCCAAAAGGCTAGTCGGGCTAGTGCTGGCTGTGGTCACAGGAGGGAGGGGGAAGTGGAGCTGCAAATGCCATACCAGTCAATGACAGTGCATAGCTGGATCGCTGGGGCTGTCTGATGGCTTAGCCACCGGAGCCCGGAAATTCAACGACACACCGCTACAAGAGTTATCTTCAAATCGCTGAAATTTTCGCCAGCAGGGACTAGACCGGAAACTTGTGAAGGCCGCTTGAACCAACCGGGTGGATGACGACAACCTCGACAACCTTTCGATTTCGATCTCTCGTCGGACTCTCTAAGGACACCGAAGAAGTAAGGCACACGGTCCTCCACGTGACAATCAACAATTCCACCAATCGGCAGACGCTACCCACTACCGTCACTCCTATCACTACTGCTCATTTGGTAACGCACCGGCTGAGTTAAAATATGCAGATAACCACAAGTTTCTGTACAAGAGTTTCCTACAGCTCAGAGTGCCCGAATCCTGTCCAATTGAGAAAGAGCTCGTTGCAATGAGGTTAACTGGTCGATGTCGAGGCCCCATCTCTTCTGTTCGGAGTGGGCAGCACGCATGGAAGTTAGCGCGTCATCTAACCTCTTGGATGCATCCTTCAACGCATCCGTGGTGGCGGGCTTTCCTGCGCCCACGCTTCCACACAAGCCATCGCAATCTTTCAAACTTTGCAGTGAGACCTGGTCCGGGTTCAGGAGTAGCAGGGACACCAACTGCTCAAGCGAAGCCCAATCAAGAAGCTGCATGCCACCATTGCCACCTGTCTCGTCAACCTTTATTGAGTTTAGTGTCTCAGTTTCACAGCGCTCCACCTTCTCAATCGATCTCGGCTCAGGGAGCACTCTAGGCCCTAGAGAATCCTTCATCAAGGACGCTGGCGCAGCAATGGACTTATCCACAGCCTCCCCCAAACTCTCGTCAATATCTGGTTGCAACCATTTGCTCTCACCGCATGCACCAGTGTCAGTGATTGGCATGAGATGCTCTGAGGCTGAGGGAGTGCCGGTGGGGCCCCTGCTCAGCGCTACGCTGAAGGTTGATGCCAGCAAGCAGATGTGTTGGCTTGCGTCCAAATTCAAGGAGGGTACCGTGTATGAATCAGGCTGAATGAAAAATTCTAACTTGGCATTGAATTTGCGCTGCATTTCCCTGACAGGCAAATCGTTCGCATCTTCGCCGAAAGGCTGATCAATTTCTTGAGCAATGTAGAACAAAGTCCAGTACGATGTCACTACAACAAAGACGATGATGCCGGCCCACCATGGTTTCATCACCGTCTGGCTTGCCACCAGTGGAGTAAGTATCCAATGGGCTAGGAGAATGCAAGACAGAAACTGAGAGTATGGGAACGGGAAGGGGACATCACGAATCTTTCTCAGGTTGGTCATGCTAACCATCCCTCGGGACAGCTCTTGGAATGCTCGGGAGAGAATCGGCGGTGGTGCTTCGAGGAGCTTCGATCGCTCTGCGTCCATGATCAAGCGCTGGAGCCATAGCATAACGGTCTCGCAGCGGTCAGGGCTGTCTCTAAAGTGGAGAAGCCCTGTGCTGCTGACGGCACCAAGATCCAGCACTTCTAGGCTGTCGTCGTCAAGTTCGCATGTCGTCTGCAGAGCGCTGCAGTGCAAGAGGCTCATCAATCTGGTAAGATACTGCCTGGAAGATCGTCTGGTTGACTTCATTACAGAGTCGATTGCTTATGCTAGATCGTACCTTCTTAAAACATCCCGGTGTAGCAGTCGCCTTAGGCTGCTAAGACCTTACATCGGCCCAAGACCCCCTGCTAGATACTTCAAATCTTCGGCCTAAGCACTGCACCGTCATTTCTCAGCAGGGTGTTGTGGTCGGGCCTACTTAAGTCTAGAGTCTAGGCTTCATCCCGGAATTTGGAACATCTCCTCCCTGCCTGAACTCGTCTACCTGGTCCTTCTTCTGCGGATCGGGGCTGCAGAATGAGAGGATGTTGCTGAAAGCACTTGTCCACTCCCCAGAGATTTGATGGAACAAAGTGACACTCTCCCAGAAACGCGAGTATGCCTGGTTGCTGCGAAAGACGATCAGAAAGCCCAGAACAAAGGTAAATGCTGACCAGATGGTGTGGATCCCTTCCATCTCACGGTTGTCCTCCGCCTTCTCCCGATTCCAATACAAGTGAAGGAGGACTGTCGCTGCGGCACAAGGGACTGCCCAGACCAAGGCCTTCGGGATAACAGATCCTCTCAGGCGCAGAAGGACCTGAATCCCCCATGTTCCGTGTTCATATACAATCATACCAAAAAGGCCTTTCGGTGGACGCGAACGAGGGACTGATGCCTAGAAGACCATCTGAGCTCGAGCGGAAACTGTTGCAGAACAACTGGGATTGCTGCGCTCACGAAATCCACAGCGAACCATCTGCGATTTCTTGCAAGCTTCCTGTTCAATGCCAATTGTTGCCTCCTAGTCCTAAGCCTGCAGCCAAGCATGACTTCCCCAAGTTGTCAAACTGGACAGGCTGGGTTTCTGGATATGGTGGACCACACGCTTGTATCATCACTCGAAACTGCCCTAACCCTTCTTTGAATTTGTTTCTCACAACATAAGGTATATAAAGTGGACGCCATTCGTTGGCCTGTGCCTCTCCTCAACTTCTTTCGGCCAAGCTGGCCTAGCCTCGGCCCGAAGGGCCCTAGGCCCCGGTGCTAGGACTGCTAGGAGCTTGGACCGAGCTGCAGGGGCTGCGGATCGAGCAGAAGGGGAAGCTCCGGCTCCTGAGGGCAAAAATGGCATCAGACGGTTGCGGCTTCTCCGGCTCGGCGCCCGCCTCTACCCGTTCTTCCTCGAGGCGCCGGCGGTTGCGCTCGGCCTCGAACGAAAAAACAGAGCGCGACAAGGAGAGATACTTCGTCGACTTTGAATTGGTAGAGCACTTGATTGTCGTTAGCGCGGCTGGGAGACAAACCCACAAAGCTCTCCGACTCGGTTTCCGCCGCGATAGGGCCGGCAAACCAAACAGCTGGACTTGACTACGACACTAACTAGAATCCCCCTGCAGGTAATCGGGCCAGACTTGGTAAGTGGGGCCAGGAGTGCCCATGCATTGAATGACCTGAATGCACCAGTACGAAGTCTTTGCAGCATGGCCCGTACAACGACGTCCTGGCCTCGTCGTTCAGCACACGCAAGTGATGGAGCTCCTGTCGCGCCCTCATGCCTTTCCTGAGTCGCGGGCAGAACCGCCAGCAGGTACGCAGAGGAAGCCGGAAATTGAGCGATCTGGAGAATCTTTGTTTGGTCCAAGGGCAGAAGGGTCTGCAACCGCATTATCGCACGGAGGCGCATGCGCTCCTGCACAGGGCTCCGAAATGATGGCTGCACAACTCCTGACAAGCGTGTGGCAAACTGAACACAGCTGACCGAGGAGTCTACGCATCAACCACATGCCCATGCCTGCTCACGAGCCACTGCCAAGGAATCAAGCACCTCGATGGGCGACCGGGCGGGCTCAATGTTGGCCCAGAGACGACGGAGACTTGGCGAGAAGGGCTCCCGCCTGCAGCCGACTCCAGTGCACCCGGCACATGCGCTGGATCTCTCGAGCTGCGTGGAAGCGTCTCCTGCGTCAAGTCATGCTAATGCTCTTGCTTCCTATCTCTTCTGTGTTTTTGCGCTGTGTGTGGAGCCTTCTTCGTCTTCTGCTAGACTTAAGAACGGGGGGGGAAATTCGGTGTGCCCTTGTGGGGGCAAGCACGTATAATTCGTGCAAAGCCAAATGCCAGCTCTCTTTCTGTTACTGCACCGGTACCGGCTTTGGACCGGGTATGAATAAGCCGACAGAGGAACCCACCAACTCTGCTGATTTGACCCTGGACGTCGCGTCCTTGTATCTAGCAGGGCAACTCTCGCTCCGTGCACGCGGCACGATCTCTGGATCTCCCTCACCTGGGAATGGTAACTCCGGCTTGCGAGGTCAATGCTTAATGACAGCGAGTGACCGACCCAAGCAAAGCGTTCAACGCAGTTCAAACTCAAGTCGCACCCAAGAGCTCGTGCAATCAAGGATCCGAAGAGGGCTTCAGACTCGAGCTTAGCTGGGTTCCAGCTATGAAGCTCCGGCACTTAGCAGCGATCTTCACCGAAGCTTCACTTTGGAGCTTCTGAAGAGCTGCGTGCCAGAGCTTCGCCTCCTTTCAAGCCCGTTTCTGTTGCAGCTGATTCCTCTGTGCTGTCCGCCGACGCAGAATACAGGCTCCTGCCTCCTCCTGTTGCTTCAGCTTCTCAGCTTTCTTCCTGTGACGGCGACCAAAGGACACAAGCAAAGCCAATAAAAGCCGCATCGGTTCCACGGCGTCGAACGAACACGATCACGAATGCTCTGCAATGCTGCGCTGCACAAGGCTGCGGAAAATGCGCCTGGCCAACCGCAGGCGGATTCTGGCCTTGCGCAAACCCGGCAACCCGCCATCGCAAGTGTCTCTGCTTTCGGCACAGCTATTCAACACTAAGTGCGACGTTGGTTCAAGAGCAACCTGCCTTCTAACAAAGCCTATGTACCCCAACACCCTAAGAGACCGAACGACAAGGCTGGCCCATGCGAATGTGAGCCTGTCGAATGTTCTGCATTCACTCATGAAGTCCTGGCGGTTTCAACTGCTCCGAGCTTTCCTGTCCGAAGAGTCTGGGGGTGGGGTGGGTAAGCACCCTCGAGAGATCCGAAGTTCCGAATTTGCACAAAGCACCAAGAAAGCGCGTTCCCTGCACGAGCGATCACTCGGCCTGAAGCCGCACCATGAGCAAGGCGAACTTTAGCTGTGCATTTCTCCTGTGCTCCAGCATCTGTACCTGGAGCGTGCTGGAATGTGCCGGATCTCACCGGCATCAACTTGGCATCAACAGTGAGACAGAGAGCGAAGGAGTGAGAGCGAGCGAGCGAGACAGAGAGTGAATAAGAGAGAGAGAGAGAGAGAGAGAGACAGCGAGCGCAAGAGAGCGAGAGGTAGTGCGACAGGAAGGCTGGTGCGGTTCCGATGCCCAGCCTGTGCCAAATATCTCCAGCAATAAGCTTGGATTCGCTTGATGGATGGCACACGCGAACTCCAGCACATGTACTGGCGAACCAGGTAGACCTCTCGCTGCAATCAAGACTCCCTCCGTTCAAGCGTGTAATTTCTTTGACCCTACACATTCCAAGACGGCGTGCCTTTATTTGCATCTGGATAGTCAGAGCTGCATGCCGGCGCTGCGCTTTGAGCTTGATGTACTCGCTTCTCGTGAGGTGCGCAAACTCCTCAGCTGGAAGCCCATGGAAGTCAGTTCCTCCTGGGCTTGCCTGTGCTCTTCCAGATGTCTTGCAGTCCACCCGTCAGAAACTCAAGCAAACATGATGCAATCAGATTTGCCCAAGCGTCCGAGGCTGGAGGCCCTCGTGTAGGTGCCTCGCCAGCAGGAAATGCATTGAGTATGCTGAGTATGGAGTGGTGCTCATAGGTGTCACACCTGCTTTGCTTGAGTGTTTGGCCTTGCGTCTTGTAGGTCGTGGTTGGGTGCACCGAGCATCACACTTAGGTTGGAAATCTGTATCCACGATGCCTGCACCTTGAGTTCCGCTACGCCAGGTGCCAGGACTGTGTCCGCACCCACCGAAGTAGATGCAGCATGTGCAGTCGAGCTGGCATTCTGCACCAATCCGGTTGACTCCGGGTCAGGCCTTGGCTGCATGTAGCCGACAATGCCCACCACATGCACTGTGCGTCACACGACGGACAATAAGCATGCTGGCACGGAACCCTGCCAGCTGGACACCATGCGCTTGAGCCCATGTGATCCTCGGCGCTCGTCTCACTTGCAGAGTGACTTTCTATGACAAGTCAAGCTCTTCACTGCAGCTCGTAAACGTGGGAAGCTCAGCCCCAAGGCTCTTCCCGCAAGCGTTGCTCGAGGGAGCGGATCTCTGCCAAGAGGTCCTCATCCTGATCGTAAACTCTTTCCCGAGCCCTCTGACTCTGGCATGAAGCGACCTCTGTGCTTGATGTCCTGTGCAGATGACACGATGCCGTCCGAGCTTTCCACAAGCATTCCCCCAGCAGCCACGTCTCAGGGCTCATTCATGCAGTAAGTGTATGCAAGAATGTTGTGGGACTGTTCGGCACAATATTTCCCAACACAGCTTTGCACCATGAGCAGCTGCTGATCCATTTCTGACGCACATGCTTGCTGCAAGAGATTGCAACGGCATTGCCGGCATTGCTGTATGGCGCCTAGCCCAGCGCGAGGCGAATGCGGAAGAGCGCCATAGCCCTGTGGCTGGATGCCTTCGCTACATTCCAAAGATGCAAGCATCACTCTACCATGTGCTTCGTACGAGCCTGCGCAGGCAGAAGTCAAGCCCTTCCTGGTCGGAAGTCAATGCGCCTCCTTGGCTAAGTGACTTGGGGATGCGCCCGGCGGACTTCGGGAAGGCCGCGCCTCGGGTGCTCTGAACAATCATCCAGCCACAAAAGCTGAATGCGAGGATCGCCACTAAACTCCTCTTCATGCTCTACGAGTAACTACCATGCGCTGACTATGTTTGAAAACTTGAAGCCATCGGATTGAAGGCTGTTTGGCTTCCCGAATAACGGATGAAAGTTGAACCTGACCGCTGCAAGAGCCCTCGCTGCTGTTGGCAGCTGAAATCGATTCAGGGGTGGTGGCAACGACCAGACTCGCAGAGGATAGTTCGATTCAGAAAGTGTTTGAAACGGTTATGGCATCTGTGACGCCTAAGCCACCCCAACAGGAAGAAAGCCGAACTGGAAACTCAGAAATAACATGAAGTTCCTGCAGGGTCGCAACTATGCTATTCTTTGGCTTCACAACCTTTGAAGCTGGAGTGGACAATTTGCGGTCCAGGGTCTTGTATCGGCATGGTTCTCCAGCCTCGAAGAGTGGAGCGGATCGAGATCTGCAGGGGCAGGGGAAATTGCTTGACATACGCTTGTACTGTCGCTGCTCAGTAACATTTTTGGCTTCTTCTCTGGGCCTTGTGGTGCTGCCCGCGGCACCGTTCCCGCTCCCGTCGCCGCACAACCAGGCACTCGAGCAAGCGACATGAAAGGCCAAGAGGAATGCAGGCCATGAGCTTTGAAAGCTTTCGGACGTCGGAAGGACAGGCCCTGAGACTCTGAGAGGTTCAAGTTCGCCATGTCAAAAAAGTGCTCGCTGGTCTTCTATAGGTCACAGTCAACGTAACTTCGATGACAGGCCGACGCCCTGCGTCAGGCCAATGCTTCTGAACCACAACGCAACCAATGCAACCTGCTGTGGCTGTTATGGTGCCGCGGATTGCTAGAGACAGGCGATAGGCTGTGACCAGCTGAGAACCCTGCTTTCTTTACCGATGTCGTGCTTTGGCAAGCAGCAAGGCCAGAGCAGCACACATCTTTCAAACTAAAATTTACTCATACATCCCTCCCCACAGCTCCTCGGAATCGCCGCCGCACTTGGCCTTGCAATCAGGTGAAAACAAGCTTGAGGCTTCCGGAGATCGACTCGAGGAGCCCAGGTCCCTGTCACAGGGTCCCTGTCCCTGTAGCCGCTCCAAGGAAAGCAAGAACTTCAAAGTGCGAACTGCAGCAAACGATAAGCCAAGCCGCTATCCTATTCAGCGCCGTGCAGGCGCTGACGACCTCAAGCTGCCCTGCATGCTTCTCACACACCTGGACGTGTGCTGCAACGGCATGGGCGTTCACTCAGCAACCGCCAAGCAGGCAGGATAGTCATGTTCTCCGCTAGCGTCGCTGCCGATGACTTCTGTCATGAGCAAAACCGGGTGGCATCTGCATGATTGTGCAGGCCCTGCCACACAGTCTGAGACAGCTCCATATTCAGAAAGCAGGACCAAAGCACTGGCGTCAATTTCACAGCTGTACATATCCAGTGACGGCAGTGACCGTTTACACGTTCGGCCTTAATACTTCAGACTGTCGAAGTCCGGTCAGTAGAGCCGTTTCTTCTTCACACGAAAACACTGGCGGCAGGCTGCAGCACGACAGCGCAAGCCGCCAATTTTTTTGCAGTACTCGACTTTTCAAAGAATAGAAGAAGGATCGAAACGGGTGGATCAATTTGGAACCAAGCTGGCATGGACTTCCCTCAAATCAAATTCGCTTGACCCGCGGAATAGTCTTGGCCAGGGCTTCACTCAAAGAAGCCAAACTTCTTTGGAGTTCCGGCTCTTGGACGTCTCGGTCGGCACTCAGTAGGTCATCTACACGGACAGCAACGTCCGCGAGGGATGTCCGGCCGAGCATCTCTTTTTGTTGCCGCTGACTCAAAATGCTAAAGTCTTCGCCAAATCCCTGCAAATCTAAGCTGGTCTCTTCGTCCCCAACACCAAGAATCTTCAGCATTTCTGCCACACGCTTGAGACCCACGTCAGGCAGCATCAGAACGATCACATCATGCAGCATCTTGGGTTCCAAAGGATCCATCAAGGATGCACCCTGAACCTCGTCCAGGCTCTTAGACTTCTGAAGATCAGGTCTCTCGATTGGTGAAGAGTGTGAAGCCTTCAGAGTGTCTGACATGTGAACTGCTGCGGCCACCGAAATCACAGAGTGAGGGCTGGCGATGTTGGACTGGCTGACGTTGTAAGAGGATCTAAGCATCTCAAGATGCTGGCTGGACTCCATACTAAAATCTGGAACCTTCGTAGACAAAGGCTCCAGGAAAAATTGCAACTTTGCATTGAACTTGTGCTGCATCTCACGGACAGGCAGGTCGTTGGCATCCTCTCCAAATGGTTGGTCGATCTCCTGGGCAATGTAGAACAGTGTCCAGTAAGATGTAGAAACCACCAAGACCATGATGCCTGCCCACCAGGGCTTGAGCACCGTATGACTTGCGACCACGGGTGCCAGAATCCAGTGCGCGATCAGCATGCAGCAGAGATACTGCGAGTAGGGAAATGGAAACGGCACATCACGAATCTTTCTCAAGTCTGTAACGCAGACCATTCCCTGGGACAGCTCCTGAAATGCTCGGGAGAGGATAGGACCCGGCACCTCGATCGTCTTGTGTTGATGTGCCTCCATAATCAAACAAGAGATCCATAACAACACGGTCTTCGATCTGTCAGGGCTTTTCTGCAGGTGCCAAAGACTCTTCTTGCACAGCCCTCCAAGGTCCAAGACCTCGCAGGAGCACTCGACTCTGAGGGACAAAACTCAGGACCCACACCAACTAATGCAAGGGGCTGCAGGCTTCAGGGTTTCTTCCACCTTGGCTTCTCGCTGACTAGCTTGATCTCTGCATACCGTAGAAACGTCTTGCACGCATACAGGTTAAAGTTAAAGTTGCGGACCTCGAGGCTATCATCACTCAGCTCGCACAGGGTCTGCAAGGTATTGCAGTGCAGGAGGCTCATGAACCTCGAGAGGTAATACCGAAACTCGTTGACTTGGTCAAGCTTCTCTGGGTCTTTGCTGCAGAAACACAGGAGGTTGCTGAAAGCGTTGAGCCACTCGCCGCCGATCTGCTGAAACAGAGTTACGCTTTCCCAGAATCGCGAGTATGCCTGGTTGCTCCTGAAGACGATAAGAAAGCCAAGTACAAAAGAGAAACCCGACCAGATGGTACCAATACCTTGCATTTCCAAGTTGTCGTCACCCTTTTCTTCGCCCCAATGGCCGTGGAGCAGAATTGTAACAAGGGCGCAAGGGACTGACCAAACCAATGCCTCGGGAGCCGTCAAACAAGGTCACGCACACTTATTTAACTACCCTGTTTCGATCACAATCCAGCTGTCCACAACACTATACCCACTAACAAGTGGTACCGCCGAACTCAGGCATATACATATGTCTCACCCTTGAGTTTCTTATTTGTGGCATTTACATGTATACATATGTACATATATACATATTAGTAGCATTTACACTCGAAGCTCAGGCGAGGGTTGAGGAGGCAACCAACTTTCTACACATGTACATATACATGTACAGAAACATTTACCTGTATTATTTGTATATACACATGTACTTATATGCATATGCATATGCATATATGTATGTAGAAATATACCCATAAAACGCTGCTGTATACTGATGTGTGTACGTGTATGCATGCATGCATGTGTGTGTGTGCGCGCATATATGTATGTATACATATGCATGCATGGATGCATGCATGTATTTGCATATGCCTTAGCTTAGCATATGTATGTGTGCATGCATGTGTATACGTACATACACAGCTACATACATACCTACAAACACACACACATACGAACATACACACATATATATACATACATACATACTGTACATGACATGCATGACATACATACATACATACATACATACATACATACATACATACGTACATACTTACATACATGCATGCATGCATGCATGCATGCATGCATGCATGCATATGCATGCATGCATTCATACATACATACAGACAGACAGACACAGACAAACATAGCACAACTAGGCCTGTTGCGGCCTTCCGCCATGTTGCCTTGGGAATCACGGAGCCCCGGAAGCTGAGAAGGACATGGATCCCCCACTTGCCATGACTGTAGGCAATCATGCTCCACGAAGTCTCTACCTTCCGTGAAGAGGCGTGGAACCCGTCTTGAGCCACCTAAGAAACTGGTGCGGATGACCCTGCGGCCCGAACCATCGGTTGTCTCACGCACAGAAAATTCTCGGATCCTGCACTTGATTCAACGGTATCTTCGCACTCTGCGACAAAGTGCTTTTGCGCGATTCCTAGACACAATCTGCACTTGCTTCTCGGCGAACAGTGCAGGCAGACCTCAAGCTAGGCCTCCGGAAATTAATTTGATACAGCTGGTCCAGACTGAGAAAGATACTTGGTGCCTTCCATACTTACGTTCAGAAAACATGTGCTCCAATGTAGTCTGGACCAGGCACATTGAACCTGAGCTCAAGCCACAGCATCACCAAAACATGAGATTCGGACTACACCCCGAAGTAGTTGAAGCCTTCTTGGATTGATACGTGCTGTTCCGGGATTCGAGAGCTGCGACTTGGCAGGTTCATAACTCTTTTTGAGACGTGAAACCATAAACAATTGGCCGTTTCATCAGCCTTACTTCTGCCTAGAGGGCAGGGTGGCCTAGTGCTCGGCACTCACGGCTGGTGTCCGAAACTGTGCACAAGCGACAGGGTCACACTCGTCTCAATCTGCTGAATCTCTCTTGGAGACGCTGGTTCAACAAGCGAAGCTTCTGCTGGCGATCGGGATCGAGTCTTTTCAGACTTTCTGAAGCCATGAACTTGTTCAATTTTTTGGGCAGCTCTGTCATGAGGTCACCAGCATCACCAGCGGTTCGCTTTAAAGCCATGCTTCTGTGGTTCTGATCATTTGTCGCCCCCGCCAGGTCTCGCAGCATTTCTGCGAGCTCTCTATCCTGCCGCCCGGGCAGCATGGCAAGCAGCTGTTTGAGTTCTTCTAGCTCCCGCAGGCATGCTCCAAGTGCTTCCTCACCAGTCCCTGCCGGCAGCCCAATGTCAACTTCGGAATTTTCACGTGTCGCTGCTTGTCGACTGAAACAGATCGTCGCATGGGGTTGATCCGGCGACACCGTGCAGCAACCCACAGGTGCGGATGATCCCTTTGCCAGGGTCACTTCAATAATCTCTTGTGACGGTGCTCCTGAGGCCGAGTTGAGGCGCAAGTCCAGTGCAGCTTCCAGTCTGTCCTCTACGAGGTCATAGGCTGACTCCACTTCGTTTGGCCGTGCCGCTTCGACGGTTTTCGTCCCCGCCGACGGGGATGCGACAGAGTTAGAGAGGGCTACACTGAACGTGGAGCTGAGCATTTGGATATGATAACTCGCATCTACATTAAACTCCGGTACAGCACAAGACAAGGGACTAATGAAAAAGTCCAACTTCTCATTAAAATGGCGTTGCATTTCTCTCACGGGTAAGTCATTAGCATCCTCACCAAAAGGTTGGTCAATCTCCTGTGCAATGTAGTACAATGTCCAGTAAGAGGTGACAACAGAGAAAACCATGATTCCTGCCCACCAGGGTTTCAATATTATCTGGCTGGCCACGATGGGTGTCACCAGCCAGTGTACTACCAAAATGAACGACAGAAACTGCGAATACGGGAACGGGAAAGGAACATCTCGTATCTTCCGCACATTCGTCACGCCAACCATTCCACGAGACAGCTCCTGAAAGGCGCGGGACAGGATAGGTGCTGGAACATCCAGAGTCTTGCTTTTGTCAGCCTCAATGATGAAGCGTTCGAGCCACAGCAGAACGGTCTCGCATCTGTCTGGGCTGCCTTTGAGATGCAGCAAACTGGTTCGATTAATGCCACCCAAATCCACAACTTCGAGCCTGTCATCATCGAGTTCACACAACGTCTGGAGAGCATTGCAATGCAAAAGGCTCATGAGTCGAATGAGATACTGCCTGAACTCCACGACTGCAGCCTGCTTTTGGGGATCAGCGCTGCAGAAGGAGAGGAGGTTGCTGAAGGCGCTCATCCACTCCCCAGATATCTGATGGAATAGGGTGACGCTCTCCCAAAATCTGGAATATGCCTGGTTGCTGCGAAAGACGATAAGGAAGCCGAGCACGAAAGTGAACTTTGACCAGATCTGGTCTATGCCCTCCATTTGCTTGTTCTGGTCACCTTTTTCCGTGTCCCAAAACTGATGAAGCAACACGGTGATTGCTGCACACGGCACTGACCAAACCAAGGCTTTCGGTATGACGGATCCTCGTAGCTGTAAGAGAACTCGTATGCCCCATCTCCCATGAGAGTATTCGATCATGGCCGAGGCAAGAGGAAACTACCAGCTTTCGCTGCCCGGAGCCTCGTTCTCGAGCCGAGTTTTGTTCAGCAGGAGCAAGGGAGCACATGCTGTGAAAACGGTGAGCTTGGTGCAGTCTCTATCTATCTCCGCTTTGGCCACAGGCCTCCAACACTCCCTTCAGATTGCCCTATGCCAGGAGCTGTTCCCCTATTGACCTTGCGGAGCGGAAAGAGTGACGAGACTCTGACTAATGAGCTACTGGCTGATGCTGCCACTTGCCGGACCTCTGCAAACGCGAGAATCCCTTCTCCTTGCGAAAGAAAGCGAAACGCAGTAGCTGCTGCACTTCCTTCCAATCCCTTGTTCGGCTGCTCAGAAAAGGGGGGATGAAATGGAATGCAAGGGCACCTCCGTGAAACTCGTGCGCAAGGCGCGAGGTGCACGATGCGATACCTGGGTCAGCCGGAACTAGCTGATCACCGAAACTGAAAGGTTTCGCAGCACTTGCTGACAGGCCGGCATAGGCAGAGCCACCTCCACCACCGGCAGGTGTGAACTCGGACCAAAGCACAGCTGGGGTGGGATGGGGCAGGCCCAGCAGTTAGCAAGTGTTTCTGGGCTGGACATGGCTTGTGACTGTTGGAGGTGACTAGGCAACCCGCTGCCGGATCCATGGTCACAGGCGACGAAGCAGTGTCGAGTGTTACGGTAGTGAAGTCCCTAGTGCTTCCACCTGACGGCTGGCAAACATCAAAGAATGTCGCTGCTTTGCCTCCTGCCATATTCAAAAGAGCCTTGAAGGGCAGCTGCCTTGCACCAACCACCACTTGCAGCAGCACAGACAAGCTCGTTCCAGGTATCTCTTTTCTGGCAGGTGAGTCTCGTGTCGAGTCAGGGACTTTGTGAGCCGCATTCTGCGGAACAAAGCATGCTGAAAGCTAGCGGGGTGGGGCATCGGGCACGCCTTTGGCTTTGTGATAATGCACGGATTCGTCCGAAGCAGACCGCCAGCATCGCCGAAAGGCGCATAACTTCAAAAATGAATAATTGACAGAATGTCGTCTAGCTAAAATGGCTCCAAATTGCCATGCAATGGACCTCGAATTAGGCAATGAAGTGTTACGCGGAGCTAGGAACTACAACCCAAAGCTGACCCTTACCCTGCGAGCACCAGGCGCTACACCGTGCATTGATCCAGTGTGACTTCGGCCAAGGCCTCTTTCAGCTTGTACATCTGTTGACGCAATGCAGGTTCAGTGAGTGTGCCAGGGCCTTCCTGCCGGGACAAGGCATCTTCAACTCGTAAGGAGAGGGCCGCCAGCGAGGCCGTGTAAACATCCCTGCCGCTTGCTGACAAAATACCACTTGCAGGGGTATTGGTTCTGCGCCACAAAGGGTCGGGCCCTCTTTCAGAGTCTACACCTGCAGCTTGAAGAATTCTATGTATGTCGGATGCATCGAAATGCTCCGGAAGAACTTTGGGCAGCAGCTCTGACAGCACAGCTGGGCTCAGCGGGTCTGACTCCCACGGAATTGCGCTGTCCCCAACAGCTCTGGCGGCACTGCTATCCGCATGACTCCGTCGATTCGGTTCGACGGCACTGGCCTCGGTTGCACCTGTTACAGATGAAGGCCGCGCAAACGGTTGACCATCCCTGGACTCAGACATGCCCAAGGACAGGGTGAAGTTGGAACCCAGCATATTAATGTGTTGGCTGGAGTCTGGTCGGAAACCTGGCACACTGTATGATAGCGGATGTGCAAAATAACTAAGCTTGGTATTGAAGTCGTGCTGCATTTCTCTGATGGGGAGATCATTGGCGTCATCTCCAAATGGCTGGTCGATCTCCTGAGCGATGTAGAGGAGAGTCCAATATGAAGTGCAGACCACGAAGACCATAACGCCAGCCCACCACGGTTTCAGAATTGCCTGGCTGGCGACGATCGGAGTAAGTACTGTGTAGAAGATTAAGACGCACACTAAATGCTGAGAGTATGGGAACGGGAATGGAATGTGGATCTTGCGCATGTTGCTAACAGTGACCATTCCTCTTGAGAGTTCCTGAAATGCCCGGGACAGGATTGGAGCTGAGACGTCGATGACCTTGCTCTTGTCGGCATGCAGGATGAGCCGTTCGATCCACAAGAGCACCAACTCTGTCCTGTCTGGGCTATCCCGGAGGTGCTGCAAGCTTCTTCGGCTGAGACCTCCAAGGTCGAGAACCTCTAGGGTATCATCCTCTAGCTCGCACATGTGCTGCAAGGCACTGCAGTAAAGCAAGCTCATGAGCTTGGAGAGGAAGGCCTGGAATTCCTGGACATCCTTCTGCTTGGCCGGCTCTTCACTGCAGAAAGCTAGCAGGTTACTGTAAGCGCTCATCCACTCGCCCGTGGTTTGGTGAAGAAGCGTAACGCTCTCCCAAAACCGACTGTAGGCTTGGTTACTGCGAAAGACGATGAGGAAGCCAAGCACAAAGGTGAATCCCCCCCAGATCGTTTCAATGCCTTGTGTCTCCTCATTCAAGTCACCTTTCGCGCTGTCCGAATATACATGCATTAAAACTGTTAGAATGGATGCAGGGATAGACCAAACGAGAGCCTTCGGGATCACAGACCCACGGCAAAGGCAAAGCACTCCCATGCCCAACCGTCCATGCCGGTAGTTTATCATGCTCAGCGGGGCGTCTTGGGGCGTTGCTGGACTCGAGCGGCTGCGGCAAACAACGTTCTGAGAAACGCGAGCATCCAGTGCAGGGTCCCGGTCGCGGTGCTCTGCAGACAGGCGAGTACCATGGAGCTTTGTCAGGGGTGCAACCGTGTTCTGGCTCTGCGCCTCAACTCTTTGGAGGCGAGCACACTGACACTGACACTCCACTTCCGCATGTAATCATGTGTGAGCGACTACAAATCGAAAATGCCAAAGGCGCTGTGGAGGGGTCGGTGCTAACACAAGTCTTATCTGATTTTACATCTCGAGTACTGGCTTGATTGATGATTTTGCTCTGAAGCTTTAGTCTGCATTTGCAGTTCGCACTGACAGACGGCGTGCTGCTGCGTAGAATCTGCCTGGACACAGGGCTCCGACCCCTGACACAGAGTTCCTCCAGTCAAAGTCATGCCCACGGTCTGACTCTATGCTCACATGAAGCTATTTTTGAAAAAATCCGGCCTTTTGCGTCTCCTGCAGCCCAACAGGCCCAAAGCTCACCACGATGGCATGAAAACCCCGGGCACCGCTTCACAACCCGGAGCGCAGGTTCGACAAAGGGCTCATGAAGGCAAGGATGCTATTGCCTTCTTCTAAAACAGTTCCTACTCAGTCAGAATCTGAACAGATCAGCCTTAACAAGTCTCAACGGGTTAGCTGCGGGTAGCTTACCCTGGTAAACGCCCTGCGGTGGGCTCAAAACCTCGAGTGCGTATCGCCTGTGCCTTCGGAATGGCAGGAGGCAATTACCAACCCGAACGAATTAGATCAGAGTTCGCAGCACCTGTCATAGAGCAGATCGCAGGGCAGAATTCCACCGTGTGATTCCGCAATTGCACGATTGAATCATCAGTGCAACTTGCCTCCCGCTTGATTTTCCGGTGACCTTCCATTGCGGTACTTGGGCCCGACAAACAAGTCATCAGAAAAAGCCTAAGTCCAAGCATGACGTCTCCAACCGCAAAGGCAAAACGAAGTAAAAGTATACGACGAGGCATCGGAGTCGCCGCTTGCAGCCCAGAGACGGACGGTACTGTGCAAGCGCAAGGTCTCGATGTGCCTGTGGCACTTGACAACGTGCCTTTTTGCGTGTATCCTGGCCCTGTCGTGATGGCCCCATGCCGTCGGGCCGCTTGATGCACAAGTAGGGGCAGCTGTACAAATCTCTGGATGCTGCCACAAAAGAGACACCTCGGCTTCTGCCCATAAAATGGTGCAAACCCTAATCAGCCAAGAGCCAGGAAAGATGGCGCAGAATGAAAGCAGTCCGAGCATCAAAATTTATGAGTTCATGAGCACTGGAAGACTGGAGGCTCGCCAGCTATGTGGTGGCCCTTGGTTTGCTTGCAGTGGATGCCACGCAAATCGAAATGTCAACCCCACGATCGTGATGAATCCTGCTGGGACTGCCGAGTCACTATCCCTGCATCATGCATCAACATGGCTGTCGACTCGTCTGGCAGATCACAATCCGTGTATCACCTGGACGGGACAGGTCGATAAGACAGCACGGCTGCAGGTCAGGCCACGCCTTCCAGGAAAGGACCTGGCATGGCTTGTGGCTTCAAACATTTTAAATGTGCACCAAAGTTCTCAGCTGCCTTGGCTTTATTTCCATCCAGTGTGGCAGCTCGCGCGGCCAGCACCTTTTGGGCTCGCTATTGCTGTCGAGGGCATGTAGGCTGCTTTGTTTCTGCTCATTCTAGTCTTTCCATGCACACGCTGGAACCAGCACCAGGCCCGGTACGTGCCATGGCAGCATGTTTCAAGACTTTGGGCCTTGCCTTCGCACGGTCCCGGAAGCCTCGCTTGGTCTCCAGGAGGCCCCACGCTACCTGACAAGCGAAAGAGTTTGGGACTCAGCACGAAACCTTTCAGACAGGCAGATGCTGTCTCTGGACCTTTTCGCGAACCGAACAACGCAAGGAACATGCTTGTGATCCAGTAGTTGGTCAACACATAACATTACCCATGATAATATATCACAGAGATACCAAGCCACTAGGAGAGTGGCAAGCCATTTGCATGCCACTGCGACATCTGCGCCTCAGCTACTCTGCACGGGTGTGAGGATGGTACACTAGCCTGACAAATGCACTCCCCGCCCGTCCAACGCTGACAGCCGCCAAAGGCGTCATGGTTGTGGCTGATGAGCCGTCGGATACTGCTAGCCGCTAGCCTAGCTCGGCTCGTACCTCCTCTGTCTGCGTTTAACTGCTTACCTGAACGACGTCGCCAAAAAGGTCGGCTCTGCGACCAAAGGGCGTTCTGCCTGTGCAAGAGCTCGAGAACGCAGCCGGTTTTGCCCATCGATCCAAACTTTCAGCTCCTGGAAGCCATCCCTGGATGCTCAGAAGCATTGGCCGCATGGGGGGATGGTAACTGTTAAATTTCGATGACGGACAAGCTGTGCTTTCGGATCTGCTGGGCTCCTTCTGCATGGTCTCTTGGACCTGGTCGTCAAAGCTCACATCAAGCGCCACAGCAGTGAAGGGTCAGCGCTGCAAGCCACGATCAAGACTTTGGAGCCGAGGCGCGTATTGTGTTCCATTTTGAAAAGCTTCACGGGCTTTGTCGAAGCGAAGGTTGTTCTGCTCTGTCAGGGCCAGGTTCAGCCTCAATGCAGTTCCCTGGCCCTTTTTGCCACCCTCTCCGCATGGGTACCCACATCCGTGTCAAGAGACGATTTCAGCAGCAAAAACCCCCCTTCTCTACCAAGATCTGGCTGCACAGTTGCCTTACTAGACTGCCCCGCACGATGGTCCAAACCCGCGCGAACTCTCAAGACACCGCTGCTGGGAGGACTCCTGAAGTCCTGAAAGCTTACGTACAAGTACTTATGACTCAGGACACTTTGTGAAAGCACTGGGCGTTGGATATGCAGATCGATGTTCTGTGTGTCCTCTTTTGTTTCCAAGCCGCCAGGTGCATGCAGCTGCGGCATAGGCCGGCACCTCTTTCCTTGACCAGATGCAAGTCGCAGCATGAAAATGCAACCAAGGGCCAAGAGCAGCACGCCGGGGGCATGTGCTCTTGCAAAGCGATTGCCTGAGTTGAGGCATGGGTAGTCCATGGGTGAATATACAGCCGAAGTCGACACACCAAGTGGAATGGGTAGATAGCATGGCTGGCTGAAACCAGCATGGAGAACGCATGGATCGAAGCAGCATGGATCGAAGCATGCGCTGTTGTGGAAATACCGGGCGATTCTGAGTCAATTAATTGGCTTCCAAGACAAACGCCTCGCAGGAGCAGCGGTTTTGGTTTTGCATGGCTTAACTGAAGAGTCAAGGCACCGTGCGATACACGGCCGATGCTCCGGCCCACTTCCTCTCGCGTCTCAACTGCACGGCGTGGTAGTGGAGCCTGCAGTCCACATCTTTTCGCACTCGAGCTCGTCGAGGCGTATAGCTGAAGCTGCCCTCGAAAGTGCGTGCAGCCAGGTAACCGCGCTAGTCTCTGAAAGGCCGAGCTTTCTGGGCCGGTGACCTTCGAAGCCACGAGAGTGCTGGATCAGTGTCCTATTTCATGTATTTTCATGTTCTGTTCGGGCTGGCTGTCGCAGCTCCCCGCAGCGCTGCGGTGTAGTATCCGACAGCTGACTCTTGGCTGGGACCTGCAGTCAGAGCTTGGGATCAATGTCGGCCGGATAGGAAGGCCGCTTCCGGGGCACTTCTCGGAGTTGCCCAGGCCGTCGACCGCGAGCCTCTGACTCAACAGACGAAGTGCGCAAAGCTACGGCTTCATGCGGCTTCCTGCGGCCAGGCTGCTGTCCCACAGCGCACTGATGTTCGCCAGAAAGATTCCAACAGCTACAATGGAAAGGAACCTGTCCCCCACAATCGCTTGACTATCTCGAACAAGCCATGCGCGGTGAAACAGCTCCGTCCTTAACCTTTGCAAAGCCATGATGCAGGACAGGGCCGCCCAAGCATGGGCAGCTAATCTTCGGGCCGAGCCCAAAGACTTCGGACGCACACCCAAACATGACCACAGCACTGGTAGGCCAGGCCGGAAAGTCTGCCAGAGGTGATGTAGTGGTCTTCTCTCAAGCCTACCACCTGAACCTTTTACAGCCACTTCGAAGCTGGCGGCTGAAACTCGAAGCTCTGCCGAATTCATGGTGACCCGTGCACGTGGCGCAGCGGGTCTACCAACATCACCAATCCATAAGGAGTCCAAAAGCCAGGCCGAACTGTCTCTGCTTTCACTGTCGAATTAATCGCAGTCTCGAAGTAGCGAGCTGGTCAAGGTTTATGAGCCGACACCTTGCCCCTTCGAGACTGCAGCCGTCTCGGCCTGGAAGACAGCGCGTAATTATAAGTCATTCTGAATCAATTCAACTTGCCACAGCTGCAGGAGAATGTGGTTTTGACAGCACGCAAGCTTCTAGCAAAAACACTTTGCTCCTGCATGGGCACAAAACTGGCTTAACAGCAGCCCGATCCCTTCGAGCAGGCCAGCTGAGAAATCCTAATGCAGACTGCATGGAATCACCCTGGACTCCTTTACAAGTCAGCGGAGCCATTTTCTGATGCTCCCGTGCATGGGGCAGGCACACTCCCAATGTCCTCGCAGCAACTGGTCGGGAAAAAGATGAAAGCTGACCCCTCTGCATGGTGAAATGCGAGGGCTCGCTCTGAGCAAGCGGCAGAAGCTTCATGCTGTGCCTATGGAGCCTGGCATTTTGGCTTTCCATCGACCAAAGCTTGGCACAGTGCTGTGCACGAGAGTGGACCGGCCTGCATTCCTCCACGTCTGACCGCGACAGCTAAAAAAGTCTCTCCGCTGTCGGTAAAAGTTTGCCTTGGCAGGCCAGGCCCATGCTGGATAGGATGCAGAGACATGTTCATCCAGGAAACGGCAGCGCTGGAAGACTGGAGTCTTGCAGGCTCTGGCTCTAGCTCGAGCTGTCCTAAGTCCCAAAAAGAATGCGGCCTGCTCGGTGCTCGCGCTCTGCATGCTGCCCGGTCACGCAGCACTGTGATTCGGATCGCGGGCAGTTTAGCCGCCCCGCACCACCTGGAGACGTCTTCTTGCAGGCGGCTGGAGGGCTGCCGGCTGCACTGAAACATGTCAGTTCATCAGGGCCCCGGCCTTCCAGGAGAGAACCTCGTGGAATCCGGAAGGCAAAGCCCTGCGTCATCGCGAACACGTCGCCCAAGGCCCCGACTTTCGCCTTGCTCCCATCAAGATTTGCAGCTCGCTGGGCCAGCACCTGCAGCACAGACACGCAAGTAGCAGCACTTCTCGTGGAGTCCGTCTTTGCCCAGAAATGCTTTGAACGCCCGGGGGTGCATCAATTTCGTTAAGCTCGGTATATCCATTAGACTGGCGCAATCGAACGTACCGAGACGTCTCTAGACTCCAGACTAACGTGACTAATGCCTTCGTCAAGAAATTTTGGAGTCTTTGTTGAATGTTTGTTGAGTTTGTGTTCTGAAGACTTGTCGAAGGCTTTTGCTAACTTCGCATGCGTGCGTTGATGACTTTGTTGGGGATCAAAACCAGACTTTGAAGCGACTGTTTCAGACTGGTTCTTTTCTTGGGTCTTCTTTGGCAGTCGCACCAGCGATGTCTTTGACCCAGCGGCGCACGCTGTGGATCTGCAACTTTTCTTGCATTGCTGCAAGAAAACTCCGTCGGTCGTCGAAACATCGTTGGGGTCCAAGTTCTTACCTAGCCAGCATCCAAAGAGCACCCCATCCTTGACACTGGGCCAAGCAAGGATCACACGGACACGGGCCCCACCACACGGCCCCGAAGCATCCCAAACCAAGACAATGTCGTTGTAAAGTGAATCATTACTCATTGGAATGGAACTGGCAGCAGCATTGGCAGCCTTTCATCCCCTCACGACCCTGAAAACGATGCAATACTGGGACCTCCGGTGGCCCCCCCCCCCCCCCCCGGAACTCTGACGACCCAAACGAATCGAAGATCATAGCGACGATTTGTCAGCCGGCTTCTCGACACGATTCCTGCATGGTGAGGGAACGGGTATTTCGGTCCGACACTGTTGGGATTTCCGATGGCATCATTGAATTCGGGCCGTACAGAACCGACGCAGAATCTGTCCCAACCTACCCACGAAGAAAGCGTCCCAAACATTATCGATGGACGTCGGCCTTCGCACGGCCTGCATACCCTCGCTGCGTTTCCAGCAAGCCCCAAGACACCTGCCAAACTTGGTAGGCTGTGAAGTTCAGCGGCACGGTTCACGCATCAAACTCATGCACGCCAAGGTATTCCGGTTGGCCCACCAGCAAAGTGGCAAGCCATTTGCAGGCCACCTGGATATCACGGCCTCAGCGCAAGTCAAGGTCCAGCAAATTCGGGTGGAACTATTGCGAGATGAACATCGTGTGCTCTCTCTATATATTACATCAGCCAAGCTTCTGGACGCTTGAACTTGTGTCCCTGAGAGAACTCGGTGCTGCCCATCAATACGCACATCGAGTTCCTTCTGCATTTGTTCTTGGACCTGACATCAACTCCACTGGCTGACCCCCAGCCTCGATGGCTGCAACACTGAAGGTTTGTGCAAGCAAGGTTCAAACCGCGTGCCGTCTTGAAAGACACGTCGGGCGGCGTCGAAGTGCCCATTGTTCTTCTCTGTCAATGCCAAATTCAGCCTGAGAGCTGGCACTGTGATGCTTTTTTTTGGTATGCAACAGAGAGAAGAGACAGCAGAGACGAACTCTCTCTCTGCCGAAAGGCCAGGTGCAGGCGGCAGCAGCGAAGGAGGGCACCTCCTTCCTCGGACTTTTTTTTTGCTCAGACTCTCATCCACCAAGCCCTGCACAAATTTGAACAGAGAAGGATGTGTCTCAAAAGATGTGAAGTTCAGTGCTTCACGGAGAGAGATTCTCAGGCAGCCACGCTGGCGGCATGGTTCTGTATAATCCAATGGCCTGACGGAGTGTGCAATGCAGCAGCCCCTACGGGGCATGGCATGCAGCCCGCCGCGCGGTACACGTTCGATGCTCCATCCCACTTCTTCTGGCGTCGAAGCTCCACGGCACGAAAATGGAGCCTGAGATCCGGTGCCAGACGACTTCGTGCTCGACAGCTCTCGTTTCACTTCTGCCAATGGCCTCGCTAGCCGCCTGAAGCTGGAGCTCTGAGAGTCAAAGTCGGAGCTTGCCACCTTTGAAAGCATCCAGAGAGGAGCCGAGCAAGAAAGCACAGTTTCCATCTTTCAGATTGCACTAGGAAACACCAGACTTTGCGAAGCTGGGCCAACCGTCAAGAAGTTCGTGTTCCGGCCTAGATATCTTCGGGAGTGCTATCGGCTGACGGCACCTTCCGGAGCCACTCGGATCGTAGTGGAACGCTTTCACAAGGCGTTGGCTTCCAAGCTTGAGGCCAAACTCTTCCTGGAAGGCCTCGCCTCATCTTGTAATCGCACGTTAGCTGCCGCGGCGAGCTGTTCGGTGCTTGAGGATCGTCATGGCCCTCTTTACGTCCTGAGGGCCTTCTGAAGAAATCCTCATCATTGAGTTTCGCTGACTGTCCCTCTTGCTACTTTCAGTTCATTCCAATTTATGTGCTAGCCCTTTGCATGTGTGTGTGTGTGTGTCTGTTTGTTTGTGTGCGTGTTCGGCCTGCGGCTCCCTCCCTGCCTCCCTCACTTGTCGTGTCTGCCGAACTTCTGAAGGCCGTTTCCCGGCCGTGACACCGTTACAGCACCCTTTTTTGCAGACTGCTCCTGACTGAGCCTGCACCCCCGCAGAACGCAACAGGCAGCACCCTTCTTCTGACCACTAGCATTGGCATAACTAGCGACCATCAAATGCTCGAGCTGGGCCGTCCTTCTGGAGCCGTCTAGCTCGCGTTCCTCCCTCGTCGAGAGGATGCGATTCTTGGCCAAGCCACTCTGGCCGCGCCCTTCAGTGCCGCAGTGTAGTAGCCGAGCGCCGCATCCCGCCTGGGACCTCAAGCTACCGGCTTCGGCTTCGGAGATTTGAGGCAAGGTTTCTTTCGGCAGCTCTTGTGACTACTCCGGCTTCGGTCTTGCAGCCAGGGAGCACGTCACCCAGGCTCTAGACATGCCTGATTCAAACGGCGCAATGGGCCAGTTCGCTTTGAATATCAGCCCCGGAGTTGCTCGGCCAAGCTGCCATCTTCTGCAGAAAGGCCAGTGTTCACGGCTCCCAGGCACAAGCAGCAAGCACAGAGTGCTGGAAAAGTCCTCGCCAACACTTGCAAGATCTGGCCTTTCGGCGTTTAGCGGCCTACACACTTGCAATACCATTGCCATTACATGCATCCACGTCCTCGTCCGCGTTAGGCAGACTGCTGCGACCATTGTCGTGTGATGGTGGCCCCGGGTTAAAGTGGGCACGGCTACAACCGAAATCCTGTGCCCTCATGCGGCCACAGCACTCAGCCTACATTGGCCTACTAATGACGAAGAAGTCAAGACGGGGCCCCTTCTCAGGCTCAGATTAAGGTGACTCGTGCTTTTCACTGACGCGCCCAGTCTGGTGGAAATCCTTTGCTTTGCAAAGGCAACAACTGCAATGCCAAGTTCCGCTCAGCTCTTTTTCAATTACAGTGTGAGCATAGGAACTATGTCTAACTATGTAACCGTGGGGAAGTTCGACTGCCGAGCGAGGAAACCTGCTACAGGAACAGGGCCGACCGTCTCGCCGTGGATGCCAGGTCTCCCTTCAAGGAAACCGTGACATGAACCACCCCCTAAATCTACCATGTCCACTCAGGACTTGATGTGGACAGCACCAAGAAACACAACACCATATGCGTACGGACATCATCCAGGGAAAAGCATTGTTGCTTTTTGCTCTAGACGTGGCAGAAAGCATTGGCAATAACATGTCTGTGCAGTCGGCTCAGCCGCCTTGTTACCCGTTGTCGGGTTCCGTGACAGAGCGAGCCGCCATCCACCGGTCCATCGACTTGGTCAGCGGCTTCAGCTTCGGCAGTTCCGCTTCAGGGCCTGACTCTCAGCTTCTCAAGGCTTCCAAAAGCGCAGCCTCTCAGTATCCAACCCATCCTGCCTCGAAGAGAGCTTACGGGACAGGTTGAGCGGCTCTTGCGAAGAGCTGCGCCACAGGACCCCATTGGACCCGAGGACCGGCGACGTACGGCTCCTGATACGCGGCGCCTCGGGCTGCGACACCTCTGTGCTCCCACACCTTTACGCTCAGCATCGCTCAGCCGTTCTATGCAAGATGACAGCCTCGGCCGCTGCCGATCGGCCTGGGGACTCCGGAATGCCAGGCTGTCGATTTGCAACAGCAAGCGTGTCTCCAGGCGCTATCCGGACACCGCGAAGCTAAACAAGCAACGCACTTCACACCACGATGCTGCGGACAGGTCGCGGTTTTACGCTTTGCCTGTGCCCGACCTCGCGTTTGTAAGGCGGACGAGTGGCATGCAATGGCAAAAGAGATCCTGAATTGTACAAGAAGAGTGGCAAAGTGAATTGTACAAGTAGACTGGCAAAGTGAAGCAGATCCATTCAATGCCGCACAAGGTCTGGATGCTTCCGGCTAGCTCCTCTGTGTGGTGCATCCAGGAGAAAAATATAGGACTTCCACCAAGATGCAGAGCGCGAGGCTGACATCGACACGTGGGCAGCTGCCGAAGGCACCTGTGCAGCTCACGTGTAACATGTGTAGCACATGACAAACCGAAGATGAGGATGGGAAGTGTACCTCAAAAACAACGTCGTGAGCCAAACCACTCATCCTAGACGAAGGATGGCTTGTTCGTTATGTCAGCAAGCACCATTCCGCGCATCTGTAAGGGATGTCTGAAGCTGTCGCCAAGAGGCCCTGGGGATAGAGGGCAACGAAGATGCGTGCCTAATGCCAGCTGGCCGGTGCCTGAGACATTTGGATACATTCGGATACATCCCAGCGGATCAAAACAAGACTGACATACTTATATATATATATATATAGTATAATATCATATATAGTAGCATGCCAATTCGTCAAAGCATGCTCCTGTTCCGAATCGTTTCCAGCATGCTCAGTGCGCAGGTGCGTAAAGCCAAGGCAAGATGCAGGCACACTGCAACGGAATTTTGAGCCGGTCATATGGTCATTGCTCTTCTGTCTTGGGACTTTCACCACATGTCGAAAACCAGCTGGTCGACTCCAAGCACATGCTCAGCTTCAGCCACCCAAATGCCTCAGAACTTCAGATCTTGGTGGACGCCTTGCTCGGAGGAGGCGGCTTGTGCTGAGCAGACACTGGTGGAACTGGCTTGACTGCGGCTGGCGGAGTTCTCCAGCCAAGGGGAGGTGCTTTTTCGACATGGCTCGCACTCGCTGGCGTCGCTGGCGGCACCTTCATTTGCGGATTTTGTGGCCACTTCTGCCCCGGGAAGCCAGGAGCCAAGTCCGCGCCGGGCTTGTTTTTTGCTTCCTTGAACTTCGCATAGGTCATGGGCACGCGATCATTCAGCCGCAGGGCAGCGAATGTAGCTTCTCTGTACCCGAGCTCGTCACTGAGCAAAACGACGTTCGGGCAAGAGATTTGTTCCCAGCTGTTCTGGGCCTTGTACTCAGGATAGGATGGAGCATTCAGGAGTGGTGGCGATGGATTCTCGGCTGCTTTGCAGGCTTCCTGTGCGCGTCGGCGACTCTCCTCGCTGACTACCGCCCTCTGCGGTGAAGGCTCCTCCTGAATGTGGCCAGCCTCATGTTCCTGCCATGAGACCAGGGTCTTGAGAAGGTCGTGGACGGGGAAGCTCATCTTCATGGAGAATGCCATCGACATCTTGGGGATGCCAACACCATCGACATCCTCCACATGGAGCTTGAAGCCGTCCATGACATCGCACATGACTTGTACCGGCACGTGACCAATGGCCATCAGTCACTCACCTACCCAATTGAGCGAATTCTGTGTGGTGCGGGCTGCAAGGAGAGTGGATTTAAGTGCCCTGCATCCCACAACTTGAGCCAAGTGTGCAGTGCCAAGGATGCTGGTGAAATGTGACATGCGAGCGTGGAAATACATGCCCACAGCAATCAGAGTGGCGCCCGGGATCCGGGCTTTGAACGGTGTGACTGACGATCTCGTGGAACTTGTGCAGCTTGGATCACTCTGTCGATGACTGGGTGAGCCCTCGCAAACCGAGATGCGATGCTGCCTTATCAAATCGCTCGATGTTGGGACAGTTGCTCAGGCTCAAACGCACCATTCTCCACCAACTTCGGCAGATAGTATCGCTCGAGAGCTACCTGGGTTCTGGCACGCATAGGTTGTTACCCCATACAGTAGTCCAAGCACAAGTCCTGAAGTGTGAGCGGCAGACTCTTGCCGCACAACACGGATCGATGCTCTCACTTCGGGTTGTCATTGCTTTGCAATTCCTCCGGTTATTGTTTTGGCATTTTTTGAAGATTCTGATTCTCCACGCCCCTCACCTGCAGACTGTCCAAAAAATTACAAACGACAATAATAAGATGACAAACAGCTGACAGTTTTGCAGCAAAAAGGCCAAGAGCTCTCCCCTCCCTTCCCTGTCCCTGTCGGTTCAGGGTGTTGCACCGCAGAGAGAGAGAGAGAGAGAGAGAGAGAGAGAGAGAGAGAGAGAGCGAAGCTGTCAAACAGCCAGTCCTCCAGTAGACAGCTGTCTTTGTCATTCCGTAGTTATTTGTCTTGTAAGTTCTAGTCCTTGCTCTGTTCTTGTCAGTTGTCGTTTTCAAAGGAACAGACCGAGAGGTCGGAGGGGTTCTTGAGTTTTCTTGCCCTTGTCGTGGTGTCATTCTGGGGACGGTTCGAGGGGGGGGGGGGGTCGGNNCCCCGAGGGGGGGGGGGGGGTCGGAGGGTGGTCCAGGTGGGCGGATGCTAAAACACAAACACATATGCAAGCCTCGAGACCTGCCAGAGTTTGTAAATTTTCTTGGCCTTTTTTGTTACAAAATTGTCAGTTGTTTGTCATCTTACTGTCGCAGCACAGAAGTGCATGAAACACAACGAGAACCCTCGTTCGTGCAAACTGCTGAAGACACTCTAACTTCGACAAGATCTAAGGTCCTTAGCTCCCGACACCACGGATCCTGGAGTCCAGGGTTTCAATCCGCGGCAGCAGCGCCCCACCCCAGCTGATCTGGTCTTCTGGCAGAATGGGCATGGCACGAGTCCCTACAGCTACATGCAAAGCTTTCGAGACATCCCAACTTCAATTGCAGCAGCAACCGATGTCCCAACTAGGCCCCCCATGCACCGTCCATGGAGGCACTGCATGAGTTTATTTACCTGGAGCCAATCAGTAGGGCCGCATGTCGTTCAGGACATCCGCCAAGGTGTCACACATGTGGCTGCCAGAGTCCCTCCGCACGTTTTGTAGTCAGCCCTTCTTTAAAGGTGCTCAACGGGCTTGTGGCTTGCCTCACAAGGCACGAAGACATGAGTCCCTTCTGACATGTGACCTGACGCTCACCTGGGAGCATGGCCGCCGGCCACGGCGACCCGGCCAGGCCTCCGAAGTGGCAAAAGGCAAAACTTGACCGGCTAACGACTAGGACGAAGACACCACTGGGACAGGAGGAGTCATCGCATCTTAACGGTTGTTGTCCCTCCCGCGACGAGAGTCCCATGTGTGAGTCGTGGTGTTTTCATCGCTTTTTTGTCGCAGTCGCGGAGGGGCTCAGCTCTCATCCAGACGAAGGCATATTTGCGAAAGTCACGTCCAAGGGAAACTTGACACCGAAGATGTTGTAGCCAAGGGCTTCATCCCCCAGCTTCTTCATGATGACGTCGAACTCCTGGTCGGAAGCCGGCATGTTTGCCCGAACAGCTCGAGAAACGATTTGGGGCCCGCGACGTGCCTCGTTCATGACGTCCTGGCCCGCGATGCTCTTCACCTGGACTGGAGCCATTTCGACGACTGTGAACTGCCGGCTCTAGTGTCTAAATCTGTGTCATGGGTCGACATGACCTTTCCACAATTCATCCGTCAGAGTCCGAGTGCGGATCATCCAACACTCCGTCGCCTCCTACGGGTGCTCCTTCTTGCATCTTAGAGGCGACCATGCCCGGCTTGATGCCTTTGGCTCTGGCTTGTCCCAGAGGATCTCCAACGTAAACGCCGTGCGCAACATCCTTCACCTGTGCTTCAAGGCAGAAGCGCTGGATGCTTTTCATGCGTTTCTCTGAGCTTCGAGCCATAGCACCCTTGAAGTCCTGTTGCATTAGCAAGGCAAGAGTTTGCACAGGTGGTCAAGACGTGATTCGTGGGAAGAGAGGGGGGAGTTCGGACTCGACGCGAAGGCTCAGTGCATACCAGCCCCTCGACAGTCAGCAGATGCAAAGACTGCGTCCTTTCCGGGCTGCCATCGCACAATGCCGTAGGGCCTCTTGTCGAACTTCACCTCATACGAATATAGATGCAAGCCTTGAGCCTTCCGGAAACTGAGATAAGTCTTGTGGCAAGTCGCCGAGACAGTCTCCGCGGTTGCTTGCCTAACGTCGAACGGCGTGTCTGCTTCCTCGGGCGACAGGAAGGTCTGGAACCTCAGTGACAGTGACAGAAACGCTTCACTTGGCTCCGCTCAGTAAGTTCTGTCTTCGACCTTCTTCTGTTGCGCCGCGAACGTCGTACTGTGCCGCTCTGAACAGGGCGCTCAGACGCCGCGGCCCCAACGCCGTCCAACACCCCAAAATAGTCCCCGCCACCCACCGCGTCAGCGTTTCGGCGACTCTGGCGCTCGCCGTCTTTTCCTCTGCATCCCTCTGCGGGCTCAGAAGCTTCGATGCTCAATACTGCGCTCGCACAAGCACGGGCTGGTGAAGTCACTTCGTATGTGGGACTTCTTTGTGTTGCTTTGTCTTCAAGCGGAAGCGCGTCGTTGATCGAACAGGCTGTGGCATCTGCGATGCGCGGTCCTCACCTATCAACGGCATCCTGATGCTGCGCACGGCTCAAATTCTGATACAATGACCAGTCAATCGCTCATCGCGCTTGACGAAGACAGGCTCATTGGGAACCACCCCGTCTGATAAGCCGTTTCCGAGAGCACTCAGCCAAGTCTATGGTGGAAAGCGCTTTATGCATGCTACACTGCTGCAAATGAATAGCTGAAACCGTTCTGGCAAAGAACACGCAGCTTGGCCTAACTGCAAAGAGATCTGTTTGGTCTGTCTAGCTGCACCATGTGCATCTGCAACTCAAGCGAGGAGCTCCGTGCCCGGGCTTTCTCCCTTCCTCTTCTCCCTTCGGTCCATGTAGCACTGTCAGTCTCTCAGCTGCTGTCCAAGGCACACCTGCGGCATCTCTTTGCCCTCGATCTCTACAGTGTCGACATTCTGCCTTTTCAGGGTGTCTTTACTTGAAAAACCTGTCGGATGATATGTGACCTATGCGACCAATGCTTCTCGGCCTTAGCTTGCTCATACTGCTTGCTCTGTACTGCTATCGACCTGCCTCTGCCAGCTGCCACGTCGCGCTTTGCCGGCTGCTCGCGTGATCTGGCGTTGCTCGACCCACATAACAGCCGCACAAGATTCTCGGATTCATGTCATGGCAGCAAGAGCATGCAGCTGGTCTAGTGTGCATTCACAGGACCACCTTGTCGCCCATTGCGATGGCGCTCTCATCACGCGGGCTACGATTGGACTGGAGCCCTGCGAAAGTCTGTGAGCCATGTCCCGCGAGGCTGCAGTAGGCCGCCAAGCTGCCTTGCCAGGTGCACCGACGCTCCGACTAGTGCTCATGCTGGAAACTTCGGGAGACAAGCCGAGAAGCTCAAGACAACGAGCACGGCTGCGGGGCTTCGACGGGCCATCATGCAAGGTCGGGGCTGCAACAGCAAGAAAGGAGGCTGAGCCGAAGCTGCGGGCAAACCAAATGCTGCATGGACGAGCCGGTAGGCAGTCAAGCAAAAGCAATCCTATGCCACAGAGACATATGCCGAAATACTCTTTAGTACTTGACCGCAACCGGGAAAAGTGTAAGCTGGAATCTTTATTACAAGCCCATGTTTTATTCTTAATGCAACAAACGCATCATGCACCTGTGGCAGACCCTACCGCTGGCTACTGGCTCTGTTTTCCTGGCGTTCTCTGACCGCAAATATCCTGGCCGTCTCGAAGCAAGAAACTACATTTCGGCAGCCTGGCAAGGAAAGGCCTGCTACTTGCTGCTTGAGCCAAGCTTCGGCACGGCGAGCGGCCAGATACCATGAGGCTTGCACCTCTTGGAAAGATTCCGTTAGCACATTCAAGGCGAAGGTTGTGTGCGCAACCTCCGCTCCGACCGGCGCGCTCATTGTCCATAAAGATGCCAGCAGCTGGAGGTGATCCCAACTCAGCCCTATCGTCTCCAAAGCGGCACGTTCGAGCACAAAGTATCCTTGAAAGGTTTGTGCGAAAATAATGGCATGGCAAGCTGCCAGCTCTGCAGCAGAGCCTGCTGCACCGTGCGATGCATAAGCTGCCTTTGCTTTCGCTATGCTCATGGTCGGAAAGCCTCGTCGCACAGCCCCCAGTCGGTTCACCAAGGCCTCTCCAATCCCAGTATTCAGCTCGAGTGGCTGAGGGCCTTGCAGGGGTGCTCCCTGGAAATGTTGTGGTGCAGCAGCGACCAGATTCGCAGTCATCATCAACTTGTGAAGGTGCTTGCCTGATGCCTGCATGCTTCGGACAGTAACTTCACAGGCTCTGGAGACCTGGAATCCAATCAAGAGCTCCGGCGACAGGGGGTCCGAAGAGTCCGAAGCACTCGGAAAAGACACCTCACCGAGGCGAATGGATTGGCTGATGGATATCAGCGGCACAGTTGTCAGATAAACCTGCACCATCCGGCGGCTGGCATTTCGCCCAGGTCTCCAATGAATTGTGACCTGCTCAGATTCATCAGAGCATGCCTCACTTGTATATCTCACCGGGCAGACTCCTTGCAGGATGCCACCTGCGACTTCGATGCTAATCCATCCATGCAGGGCCCAGGGCTCTTCGGCCTCCTTCTCTGCTGCAGCTGCTGGCACGGAAGAATCCGAAAGGAGCTGTCCACCGGCCTCGCCGGCCCTTGCATTTGCAGCTTCGTGGGCTTGCCCCGCCAAGTCTGCGAAGCTCGCGTAAGATGGCCCGGACCCTCTGCTTCTACTGAAGCTCTTCTCTGGTCTGCGGATGGACAGCTCTGATGCCAACGTAAAGACGCCTGTTGCAGAAAGCTTTGCCCACGAGGACGAATGCTTTGATGGGGAAGCTCCAATTTTGGAAATTGCAATATGGCTTCGGAGTGACAGTGCCTGGCTCCGACTCTTGAAGGGGTCCTTGCGTCCAGTGGACGCTGAGGAACCTCCTGAACCCACCATCATGGAGTCAAAGAGCGAGAGCGACTCTAAGCGCGAGTGAACACTCCTTTGTGCTCGCGAGCCCGGCAGTCCCTGTAAAGACAGTCGCTGTCCAAGCATGGAGAAGTCCAGGACAGAAAGGCGCGAGACGACACCTGCAGCCTTCTTCGCACGACCCGACGGCGTGTTGCGGGTGACAAGCTCTGACCCGGAGCTTGCTGCGGTCTTCGAGCCTTTGGGGCCTTTGTTCACGTCCTCAAAGTGCCCGGCTAAGAAGTCTTTGTCGCTGCCATGACGGAATGGCCAGGTCTCATCAGAGAGATCCCCAGGCCAATTACTCGAAGGGTGTTTGTTTCCAGTGGTTCCAGTGGGACCCAGTGAACCTCCGGGCATAATGGACAAAGCAGAACCGGCACGCGAGAATCCACGCACTGAGAACATCGAGGATCGTGGCCTGAACCAGTCATCCATTCGCTCCGAGAGCTTTTCATGAGAGTCAGCCTTCCCAAAGGACTTGAATCTCTGGTTGACCCCGTCGTCCTGCAAGGAAAGACTGAGAGCAAGTCTTCCGAAATCTAGTGCGGAGAGCTTCTCGCCCAATTGCTTGAGAGGGGCTTGCTGCCGCTCTCTGGTAGAGAGCAGGTTTTGCCGCATGCTTTCCTTTCTGTCCTGGCCCGATGTGAACGTGCCCCGCTGGTTCGAGGTGTCTGATGCAGAAGATAAAGCCGCTGGGGAGTCTGGCAGACCCTCGCATAGCACCGCCTGTTGCACCTGGGAAGGTTTGAAGACCCACTGCGTCGCACTGGTCGCCACTCGGTGCATAAGCGCAGCCTCTTGCACGGTTTCGGGCAAGCCCTGGGGACTCTCTCGAGCATCTTCGGCAAAAAGCGATACTCCAGCCGCATGCAGGGCTGTTGACATCGACATACCGAGCTGAAAAGCTGTCATTGATCTATGAACTCCTCCCACAACCGCTTGGATGTCAAGATGCTTCAGCTTGCTCAGGTCTAACTCACCTTCATCGGTCGAGGGGTTTATGAGCGCGATGGACAACAGCCGACTGTTGAAATCCATCTCGCTCAGGTCTAGACTCAACTGCAGACTTGCACCAAATAAGGATCCCCAGCTCACATGGACATCTCGAATGACAGGCACCAAACCATCCAGGAGATGAGAAAGCAATGCCTTTTCCAAACCGAGCTTGAAATCGCGCTCTGCAACGTAAGAGAAGCTGCCTCCACCCACCTCATTTGACCCACGCACACATGCACGAGAAGAGAAAGACATAGATGCGTACATCAGCAAAAGCATTGGTAAGTGGGCACCCTTACGCACTAGCATATGTGAGCCTTGAAGTCCCCTAGCGGCCCTAGCGCCCCTAGAGCGGGTGTGAAGCGGCCGGGACTCTTTTGCGAGATCTTCGACGAAGATCGGGGAAGCGCTCCATCCGAGGCCCGCCGAGAAGAGCCGGCAGTCCTCCAAACAGCTTTGCTCCACCAGCTGAATGGCTCTTTGCGGATCTGGAGGATGCCGGTCCGTGATGAGAAGTACTCGAAGTTGTGTGGATATCGGGCGCTCAACGTCGAAAACGGCGCCAAGCACAGCTTCGGCCGATTGCGGTTCGGAGCTGGAGGTGGACAGAGCTGCAGGTTCCCGAGCCAGATGCTGGTTGACCTCCTGGAAAGTCTTCTCGTCTACCCTCCGGCTCTCTTCGAACATTGGCTCCAAGGGCTTGTTCGCATCGTGTCCGATGATGTTCATCCGCGTGCCGCGGGGCAAGCTGCGCAGCAAAAAGCGCAGTGCTTGCTGTACTCGCCCCAAGCGTGGCCCACGCATGGTCGCAGACGCGTCCACCACCATGAACACCTCAAACATTGAACCCTCGCCTAGATCGAGAGCCGGTGGCAGCCACAGCGCTGCAGCAACCTGGCCGGTGGCGGGGTGCTTCTGCAAGGTGAGAAGAGGCGTCAAAGGACTGTATAGATTCGCCTGAGTTTGTCCTCGCTTGGGCATGGCAATCTCGAGCGCTACATCTTGCAAAACAGGTGACTCCACCTTGTAACAGTTCGAAACTCCTGTCGGGCAGCGCTTTACCACTACACCAGGCGTGGTGGCGGCCACATCCACTTCCAACTCCATGCTCTCCCCTACAAGTTCGACAGAGACTGCCGGGCCAGAGCCCGACAGTGACCGGGCGTCCTTGCTCGTACCCGCTGGCAGAGGTACTTGCAATGCAAATGTGTGGCCGAAGCCCGGTCTCTGCTTTGTCTTTAACTGCATGACGTAGTCAATCTGAAGCACGACCTGTGAACCAGGCTGCATGGACTGCATGTTTGATGCCAACGGCACCCTGTATCTGGGGCCTTGGAGGGCTGCTTGGTAGAAGCTGAAACTGTCTCCGCTTGGACATTTTGCGGGCAGAACAACGTCCGACTTCAGCACCACGTCGCCGGCCAAGCCGTTCCCATGCCCATGCACTGCAAAACCCTGAAGAATAGCCGTCTTGGGCAACGGCAATACAAGCTCTGGCTCGTCCAGCGAGTCTTTCAAGGTGTTGATGAACGTGTAGTTCGTCTGGATCTGGGCAAAAACTGCCTTTGCTGTGATGGCCGCTTGGACAGATGACAAAGCTGCATGGCAGGTGCTCTTCTCCGATGCCCGCATTGTGTACGGAAGCTCGATTTGGCAGTTGCCAGAAAGGGTCGTCTCACCAAGCATGAAAGTTGACAGAACAAAAACGGCATGGGCCCGGGCGGGCCACCGCGAGTCCAGCCGCATGCCCAGGAATGGGGTGCGAACAAAACCACTATCAGGTCACTAGCAGCCATTGATTGTAGCACATGTGCTAGCTATGTAAGATCCTGCTTTGCACGGACATATACGGCGAAGCCTTACACTGCAAAGTGCTGCTACAGGTTCATGCCTCATGTCTCAACATGTCCCGTATGCCATACTTGATTGTGTGCCAAGCTTGTCTTTCTTTGAATGTGCTGGCTCACGCACAACATGATGGATGGGCAAAGAATGCGCGAAGTAGATAGTGTAGCCTTTCGTCACTGTCATGAGTGAGAGGGCTTTCTAACTCAACCCATATCGTTACCCCATCAGTCTACATGCAGCTGCACTGCAACTGTGCCCAAACCCTAGGGAGTTCGAACCGATTCCGGCTCTCTGATACCCAAAAACAGTATGCTACCGGTTCGCCCTGTACTTCAACCCCGTGATGGAAATGCTTTTCGGGGGCATCGCTCGTATGAAAGTCTACTGACTTTGTTGAGGACTTGCTCATGTAAACAGTAGTCGTGCTTGCAGATGTCGCCTCTTCCGGTTCGGGAGGTCGGCATATTCTGAGACCTGGCGCAAGCAATGCGTCCAAAGAGTCCGCCTCGCGAAAACAACAAACTATGTCAGAAATCCGCATGAAAATGGCACACCCGAAACACATGCATGCAGGCGTCCCTCTCTTTTGCATGATGGAAGGGTGTGGCTGCCGACTCCCAGGAGAATCCTTTCGGTCGGAAAGGAACAGTAGCATTCCAAAACTTGGTCGTATCACAGGAGGGTCCCCTTCCCTCAGGGCCCAAGGCACCTGGGGTCCGGGGACCCTCACAAGACACAACAGGCTCCCAAATACTGTGCCGTCCATGAAGAAGCCAAAGCCGAAGGATGGACGGCACACCACAGCCAAAACCGGAGGATGTCGTCCAGCTATAAGGCGTGTCCTTAGGAATCGGGGTGCTGTCGAGATCCTTGTAGGTGACCTTTTCCGCTTCCGACGCCGTGTCCACAGAGTCGTCCGTGAGGCTGCCTGAGGAAGCAGATTCACTGGAATCCTCAGGCTGGGGGTCCTGCTTAGGAGTCGTCACTCCACCCAGTCGAAACTCCGCCGGCAGGGAGAACTGGTGGAAGCACCTGGCGCACAAGGTGAA